TTTGAAATTTCGTGCGAACGGCGCGGAAAATCGTTTACTTTTCGAAATTTGTTCGTAAACTTTCAGTGTTCTTAGGTATTCTTGTGATTTTTCTTAGATATTTATCTCGTTCTCTCATTATTTTTGTTAATTAAGTTTTGTTAAGTTCTGTATTTGTTAAGTTTTTGTTAATTCGTTTGTTTTATTGTATCGTTTTTGTTGTGCTTACTTGTAAACAATTTTCAGCTAAATGTTTTCGGAAATGAAAAACTATATAAGAATGTTTAGAAGTCATGTATGTTTAATTGGATCTGATAATCCTGGTAGGTGCTGCTTAAATATTTGTATATAAATAAAAATATTTTGATGCTAACGTCGAAAGCTGCTGCTAATTCAGCCGTAGATTGAGTATCATCAGCTTCCACAGTTGCCTTTAATTTGTTATTGTTGACCATAGTATTTGGACGACCACGGGGTTAATTTTTCAGGTTTTTGTTTTGCAACTAATAAAAGGTGATAAGTTCGTTTGCAGTATTCGCTCCGTAAACGTCGTTGATGTTGCGTGCCGCTTGTGCCGCGTTGCTGCCACGACGGTACTCATATTCCATAATTACTAGAATTTTTAACGTATACACAATGACGAAAAATATACAAATGCGATGAAATCATAACACTAATCAATAAACAAATGACTAAATTCAAAAAAGAATACCATGTTTTTAAAATAAAATTAATTTGAAATTAGAATTCTTAGCCAAACAAAAATAATTTTTATTTTTAATGGCCAGTACTGCAGAACGGCAATTTTATAGGTAAAGACCTATTATTTTATAATGTTTAATGATAAATTTTAAGGCATTTATTAGAATCTATAAACCAACGATATGACACAATCACATACATATGTATTGTTTACCACTGAACTATGCAGCTTTTACTTTCATTGACGGTATATCTTAATGAATATGAATCATCAACGACCACATATACGGTGATAATAAGCGATATAATCGCATGTAAGCGAACTATTATTAGTGTTTACGTTTTAACTTTATTAACTAACGTCACTTTTCTTTTACGATGTCTGGCCGTAAACGTTTTAAAATAATGCGTCTGCCTGCAACGTGAGGAAACATTGTTTATAGCGGAAATGTTTTTGTAGAACTGGACGTTTTTGTTTTTCGTCAACAATTTCAGCTGAAAAGCAAGTATTCTTGGGATCAATTTAAATATTGACTTATATCATATTTTTTTATTTATTTATTCTTTAGTGTAAACTAGCAATCCGCTCTGGCTTCGCCTGTGTGGAATCTACAAATGTTGCAATTATTTAGATTTAAGATGTTGTTTATGATGAAATATAACCTAGATAACTCCTGTCATTTCTCTCTATCTGTTCGTGCAGTTTCATTATAATCGGTTCAGGCATTCCGAAGTTTAGCCTGAACAGACAGATAGACAAACACACAAATAAAAATCAACGCGTTAGAAGTGAAATCTTCAGAAAACTAAACTTCGCGAGAACGAGACGAATGCAAAACATCAGGTATAGGAACTATAGGGTTTATTTATTATAATATTGTTACCAAGTTTAAAAATTATTTATATTATATATGTATTCTACATACAATTATACTTGAAGTCCAATATACAATTATATATTGGACTCCAAGTTTTCAATTTAACAAATGACACGAGTGGCTTTTGGTAAGTAAAGTATGAATATTATTTTAATATTAATTTATTTATCAATATAATTTTCAAACAAAAGTGCGGCATAAAATTTAAGATAAATGTTTAATTTTTTATTAATAAAATATTACAACCCTTATTTTTAGACACAATATAGCCTAAATTTTAATGTAATAAATCAAAAGAATATTTTCTATCGACTAAACTTGCTTTGTAATAGCACCATCTACTTTATTCTTTAGGTAAATACATTTTATCGAAGAAAAATTGATTGACTGTCAAGGTAGTACGTAAAATAGTCGCTAGATGGCCTGAAGTTATGAAATCGTGGATTGTTATGAATGAATTGAATATGATAATTATATTCAATGTGGTTTATTTTATTTATTTATTAAATGTATTAAATATTTAAACTGTTTATTACACAAAGAGGAGAGGATCGAGATAATTTTTTTTTAAATACTAGTAACATTACTAATATTCCCTTTAACCACTCCTGGTAAGCTGAAAATGCTTATGTTAGGAATGGTTTAAGATGGCGGATTCGAAACCTCAACCTTTTGAGTCCGCGGGCCGCACTCTGCCATTAGGCTACTGTCGCTTACTATACTGTATTCTATCTCATTTTTTCTCAGGCTAAATCCTATAATGTATATTTTTTGTCTCTTTTTAATGTCGCTTTTTTGTTTCATAGAATTTCTAATCATAACGATTATGAAAAAGTTTTTACTTCAAAAAAATGTTTATCTACTAATGTCTTAATGGCATACAAATTATCTTTGGCTGCGTCCACGCGAACAAAGTCGCAGGGACAGCCAGTTAAGTTATATAAAAGAAATACAAATATATACATATCTAAATAACAAATACATACATCAATGTCCATGACGGGTAACAAAAGACAATTGTGTGGACTGTTGTATTTATGTGGAAAATACATTCTTTGGAGAAATTAACTTCCAGCACGTTGGAATCGACATGTGACTTCTGTTATTTGACGCGTACCATCTATTATCGACGTGTGACAATACAAAATCATCGCCTCTCGACTCTCGTTGCAAATGTTACGTTACGTAAAAAGTGCGTGACACGCCAACAGGTCACGTCATAGATCTATACAACGAAATGTGTGTTTGTGTTATGAAGACTCCGAATGGGTCACTGTGTGACATTAAGCAGTCAACAATCCGTGTGACAAATGTTTATGCTTACATTATGTTTTTGATCTGTTTAATATTAATACGATCGCTAGTCCTAGTCTAGTCATAGGTCATCACTATATTCCAAACAATACCAGCTTAAAATAGCAGCTTAATGCTGCTGTGTTTCGTATGGTGAGTATAGAGAACCGGAGACCCTTTTTACTGGAAACGAGGCATTCCATCTTAGTCCTCACGGGTGACAACGCATCTGCATTTTGATTCGTATTCGAGGATAAATGTAGATGTCTATGGGCCACAGCAACCACTTACCATCAGGTGGACTGTGTGCTCGTTTGTCACCCATATCCTATAAAAAAAAAACAAATGCCACACTAAGCCCGTATTCAGATATAATCTCGAGTTTAAACTACAATTGTGTGTAACATAGTAACGTAGAGACTGTATTTTTTCATAATTCATAATTCATAATCATAATTCATAATCTCTTTAATGCAATCAAATGGTAACAATAGATGTGTTTTTAAAAAATAGTCCGCATTTGAAACCCGGTTTGGGCGTAGCAATTATAAAATATTAATTTATATTATTAGATTACATCAATAAATTATTTAAATTAACAATCACATTGTCATGTCAAAGAAAGAACAATGATAATAATAATTATAATTACAATAATAGAAAAAGAAAATGAAATATAATAAAATATAGAAAATCAAATTAAATAATATTTGTATCAAAACATTCATTTAAATTATAAAAATATTTGTAATTTATGTATAACTTTAATTTTGATAAAATTATGTAGTATCAGTTAGACTTTTATTATCTCTGACACTCGGCAAAAAATTCATCGATCGAATAAAATGAATGCTCAATTAGAAAGTGGAACAATCTATCTTTGAAAATCTGTATATCGTTACACTCTTTGATGTTATTCGGAATCTTATTACATATCTTTGGAGCCATAGCAAACACACTTTTTCCACACAAGGTAGTTTTATATGTTCTACCAAGGTTATTATATAATCTGCTTCTATTGCGAAATCTCGAAATCACTAATTTAAATAGTGATAGATATTGCCTGATAAATAAAGCTTTCTATTGTAGAGTAAGTTTAAATAGGAGATTGCTTATGAATAGCCTTAGAGTTTCCCAATATAATGTTTGCTATAATGTGACACAAGATAAATATTTATGTGACATAATATTGGTAACAATCTTCAGTATTTTTTTTAATAAAATAAGCTTGATAAACACGCACACAGTCCAATGGTAACTGGATGCTACGACCCACAGATATCTACATCTATTCTCGATTAAGAATTAAAATGTAGATGCGTTGTACCACTGTGGACTTAATTAGAACGCCTCATTTCCAGTTAAAATGGTCCCCGGTTCTACACACTCACCATACGAAACACAGCGTCATTAATCTGCTATTGCACGCTAGTATTTTGTGAGAGCGTGGTTCACCCTCGGTCGAGCCTATTTTACCACCATATAGCTGCAACATGGCTCTACCACGTATAACATTAAAAATCACATAAATCGTTTATAATAGCATATTTTCTCCACTAATATTACCCAATTCTGCCGTCAAGTAGCAGTGCACAGCTAGGTACTGTTACGAAGGTTGTAGAGAACCAATATAATGCTAATAGGCTGTGAGGCATTTAATCTTAGTTCTCTGTTGTGACAATGCATTTGTTAGGCTTTGTTTATAGTTGGTTGCAGATGTCCATGGGCTGCAGTGGACTCTTACAATGGGAAGGCTACTTTTTTTTATAGGATAGGGTGACAAACGAGCACACAGTCCACCTGATGGTAAGTGTTTGCTGTGGCCAATAAACATCTGCATCTATCCTCGTTTGCGAATCAAAATGCAGGTGCGTTGTCACTCATGAGGACTAAGATGGAATGCCTCTTTTCCATTAAAAAGGGTCTCCGGTTCTCTACACTCACCATACGAAACACAGCGGTGTTAAGCTGCTATTTAACGCTGGTATTCTGTGAGAGCGTGGTCCTACCCCGGTTGAGCCGACCCATTCCTGCTACAACAATACTACTAATATAGCTGCAGCATGGCTCTACCACGTACATATACTCACATACATATTTTACGTAAAATCTATTTTTGTTTACAAAGAAACATTTATGTGTTTCCAGGTGAAAATGGCGACCGATACGGCACAAGTAACAGGGGCAACTACACCTGGCGCAGACAGCTTAGGACCAGATACAGGTCAGGCGTTAGTGGCACAGGCTCCCAAGAAACCGGCGAGACCTAGAGGCAAGCCGCAACCTGAGAAGCCGAAGCGGAGTCTATTTTGTTTAGGTCTTAAAAATCCACTCAGGAAGCTGTGCTACGATATAGTTGAGTGGAAGTATCCTTTTAAACAACAAAAAAAACCGGTCTTTGATAAACTCCCTTTCATTCTTCATCAGTTCGTAAAATTTCATTTCTAGACATGGCCCTTTGTAGAGAGTCTTTGCCTTAATCAAATTAATAGAATCAGGCGTTACATTGTTTTGACATTATATTAAAGATGTTGATAATTAATCAACTAAGATCACCGCCATCTACCGGGTCCAATTGTGAATCTAAACCATCCTCTAATCAACTTAATCAACCGTTTAGGAAGAGTTCAGTCAATTACACACGGACAAAAGAATTATATAATATGCATGTACTATACATATAAACCTTTATCTTAAATTATTCTGTCTACTAATGAAAACCGCATTGAAATTTGTTGAGTAATTTAAAAGATCTAAGCGCACAGACGGCGGAAAGCGATTTTGTTTTATACTTTATAAAGATGATGTGTCTTACCTAGTTTGAAGAGCACCTCCCGCCCTCCCCCAATTGCGTGCACTATCCTATCGTAGCACCCCATTACCACTAATTTCAATACCATTACTCCCAACACCACTATAACTCTAGGAAAGGCACTGCACCGTCGATAATACTAAAAAAAAATCCTGTTTTTAGTATAAACGTTACCCCCACACTAGGATTTTCTCCTGTATCGTGGAGGCAGTTTACAAACACAAATTTCACAAGGACAAACATCCAGACCCGGTACAATTATTTGTAGGCCATACAAATACTTGTTCCGTGCGGGATTCGAACCCGCGGCCCCCAGCGCAGCAACTCATTGCTAAGCCACAGCGCCACGGAGCCGTCAACGTAATATTTAATGTTTTGCTTTAATATTCAAGCTTGGCAGCCGTTCTTTCCCGTCTCCCAAGCCGGTATTTTACGCGTTTTGTTATAAAGCGATCTATCGGAAGCTATAAAATTGTTCTGGCATTATTACAAATGCCATCTTTTACGACATCCACGGCAGGAAATCAAACTCCACGGTTCGTCACTTATTATTAAAAAACTACTACGATCACTCATCGATAACTCAAACGTGTTATATGATACTAAAAAAAGGAAGGAAAAAAAGAAAGGGACTTTCATATTTTAAGTTCATCAGAACATAGCAAAACCAAGTAGACCTGCTTACAAGTTCTAAAGCACCTGTTCATCTGTTCGAGGTATAATTTATAGACGTCTGTAAATTTAATCGGTGTTTAAATTCTTTGAATTAATCATTCCGCTCTTTCTTAGTTTTAATTGTCTCGATCGTCTAGTAGTCGTAAACGCGACTGCAGATCAAGAGGTCTGGGGTTTGAATCCCACGCCAGGCCAAGAAAAAGTTATTGAGTTTTTCTGTTGAGAAATTCTTAGTAACAGCCCAGAGCCAGCAAGCTGGCATTCTTACACCACCGTGCCTCGGAAAGCACGTAGGTCCCTCTCCTGATTTTTCTCCAGTAATGTCGATTTAAGGACTATGACCTTGAGGGAATTGTGTATGCACCTATGCTTGTAGTCTGAGAGCTGGCGACGAATTTAATTACAGCGCGAGGAGCTTAGGCCCCCATCCGCTGTCGGCATGCTTCGATAAGCTATCTTTCTCGCACTCATGGCTACGCATAAGACTATTTTGTCGTATTCATTTGTAAACTTTATTCACGTCTGGGATTTGTTTAAAATCGCTAAATTTGTCTGGCGATCTGCAGGTATTATTAAAAATTACTCAATAAATACGCGATTAAAATTTGAGATTGCCAAAAGCATATTTTTTGGGAAGTAAAAAAAAATATTTTTGGAGAGGTCTGGTAATACTCTATAACCGACAAAAACGTCTGGGATTATTTTTTTGGAATTATGGAAAAACTAAATTAAAAGATAAAAAAGAATTCAAATTGCCAAAAAAACATTATTTTGGATTTTTTTTTTGCAAATGTTGTATGCTGCGCAGTAACGAAATAACCGCAACCGCTCTGCCAGACTCGCGGGACTGGATTCGCCAATTGACAAAATTATATTTTTTCACGATCTCAACTTGCCCAAAGGACCTTCCCGAAATTCGTCGCCAGCTCTCAGACTATTGCACATGCCTGCGCAGGTGGTTAGCCTCCGTTGAGACTGGCTGCCGTGACTATTCGGTCTGGAGGACGTTATTATTAAAAACTGGAGTTTATTTAATTTATTTCCTTATATAACTATCAGACCATTTGAATACATGATATTGACGACAATTTTTGCAAATTGCATAGCCTTAGCAGTGTTCACGCCTTATCCGAGCAGTGATACTAATAATACTAATCAGATATTGGTAAGTACTAAGTAATTTTATTTGTTTTCTTTTAATATATCTAGATTTTTGTCTGTTTCATTAGACCATGGCATATAATGAGGGCATCCACGACTTTTTCTGCCACCAGGGCGGCGCCACTAGAAAGTGAAGTATAATATTTGACAGATTTCGTAGTGAGGAAGTTAATTTGTTCTGAAAATGTAAAGTATATTGTTTCTTTCTGTACTATTAGCTATATTTTATATTAATAAGTTTAAAAATAAATAAACCAAACCACAGATATTCATAAAAGTAGAAAAAAAAAATAAAAATGTCCAAAAAATTAAAGAGCAAGCCACTGACACATTGTTTTGCGTATTAATAAATACTCTAGAAACTGATAAACTTTTATTAAAAACCAACTTTTCAATTAAATTACATAGTGTAACAAAAAACTTTACCTCAGTGTCAACTAGCGACATCTGGTGAGCAGAAAATTATTAGCTCTCATTGTGCTTTTCTAATACTAGCTAGTTTGATGTTCAATATCTTGCACTCAACATGGAATTCGAAATTCGAATCAATGTTGGTGTTTTGGCGAAAACTGGACTGTTGTCATTGCTGATCCTATATTATCGTTTAAATAAACACCATTTATTTGTTTTGTAGCTTGTCAACTATTATTAATACAATAAAACAAAGGGTGCGATGATGAAATGAATCGGTATCGGTGTCACCTGTTTGCTGTTTTCAGCAGTCACCGAAATCTACCAAATACGCCCTTACCTCAGATTAATAATAAGTCATCGCGGTCAGAGCGCGCGATGACTTATCATTAATCTAAGGCCCTTACCATGTGGCACATCGACATACGTGTTTATACGTAGTAGAGCCATGCTGCAGCTATATTATGGTTTTAAAACGAATGGGTCATCTCGACCGGGGTAGTACCACGCTCTCGCAGAATACTAGATAGCAGCTTCTGTGTTTCCAATGGTGAGTGTAGAGAACCGGAGACCATTTTTACTGGAAACAAGGCATTCTATATTAGTCCTTAGGGGTGACAACGTATCTGCATTTTATATTTAATCGAGGATCAATGTAGATGTCTATGGGCCACAGCATCCACTTACCATCAGATAGACTGTGCTCGTTTGTCACACATATTCTATAAAAAAAGAATTAATTTGATACAGGCAGACTTACTAATTGCATGAATTCATTAGCAAGAAAAAAATTAAACACATTGGTATTAATTTTTTTAAATCAGTTTCCTCGTTATTTGTTTTCCCGCCATATTGCATTTTTTATTTTATATATGGCTTTGACTGCGATCATAGAAAACCTTAGCCTTTCAGTTTTCGATTTTCAAATACAATAGTAGGACTATAGCAATGACCTATAATATTTAGTACACGGGACAAGCAATGGGTTCAAATGTCACGTTATTGTCCAGCAAGAATATGTCAACGATTTGTATGGACTAGGTACAAAATGAAGGCACAACTAACGATGTTACTAATAATTATTTAGAAAAAATAACTATGTTATTCTTTCTCTCATTATTTACCCTAACAGATCCACGTATATCAATATAGAAAACAATAAAGAATTATATTTGGCCGATAAGCCCTGATCTACCATCTGCACTGACGTTCATGGTTATTAGTAGTCTGTGAAATCTTTTTATAGAATAAGACAATAACAAGCACACAGTCCACCTGATGGTAAATCGATGCTACGATTCATAGACATCTACATCTATCCTCGATTAAGAATCGAAATGCATATGCGTTGTCACCTCTGAGGACTAAGATGGAATGCCTCGTTTCCAGTAAAAAGGGTCTCCGGTTATCTACACTCACCATACGAAACACAGCAGCGTTAAGCTGTTATTTTACGCTGATACGCTATAACATATACATGTGTTTTTATATTTCTTTTCCAGGAAAAAGTGGAGTGGGTTTTTATGGTAATTTTTACGGGAGAATGTGTAATGAAGATTATAGCATACGGATTCTTAATGCATCCCGGTGCTTATTTAAGAAATACTTGGAATAGTTTAGATTTTACTATAGTTACTATTGGGTGAGTTATAACGATATATATGTAATATTACTAGTAATATTATAAATCAGAAAGATTTATTTATTCTCAATTAAACATCAAAATTCAGATGTGTTGCACGTTAAATATGTAAAAATACTTATTTAATTGGTATGTTTTATCTAGTTTAGAGAGCACCTCCCACAATTCCACCAGTTTACAGCCCTTCACAAGTTCATAGTTAAATAAAGGAGAGGCCAATTTAGAAACCGAAATACCTGCCGTAATATCAACGTTGCTATGTTTCCTGGCGGTAGTGGTATTAGTGGAGGCAACGTGTAATGATACTTTTTTAATATAGAATAAACCTAGCCAGCTAACAGCATAGCAAAGTGGCGAAGCAATCAGCTTTGTAGCGGTTTCTAACGGTTGCCGTTGAGCAATCGGTTTCAAAATAGGAGGTTCAGATGCCTGGGTGATCAGTAATCGTTTGCTGAAAACAGAATTTGAAAATACAAAACCGTTCTCGAGATAATCGTGGGACAGACGGACAGACGGACAGACGGACAGACATCGTGAAATGAATAAGTGACTTCGCAAGCTTCGCCACTTAATAAGGGTGATTGGACTGGGATGCTTTGACTCATAGATATCCACATCTAACCACGATTAACAATCAAAATGTATGCGTCGTCACCCGTGAGGACTAACATGGAATGCCTCGTTTCCAGTAAAAAGGGTCCCCGGTTCTCCACACTCACTACAATAGTGCACAGAAGTTTGGGATGGAAGCAGGTGCTCTTCAAACTTGGTAAAGCGCTTTGACTTTAAATTTTCACATCTTTTATATGAATTGAAGACGCATAATCACAATTTGCAATTTACTTATCGCGCGTGTTCAATCCTGACCGCTACAACTTAAGGGGCTTTCAAGAGAACAACCTACTTCCTCCATAAAGACGCACCAGCAATTTCTCTGTTATTGCGGATGTTTTTGTGAACAACAAGCACGTGAGAAGCTAATATAATTATGTACGTCTATATTACTTTTATGTCGTTTCTACAGGTGTCGCAAGAGACGAGAGAGGTAAAAAAAAAAACAACTCAATAAGAAAACGGCAGTAACGAGCCTGTCAAGTGTGGTAACTATGGCACCTATCCTCCTTGTGAGGCCATCTGTAGGACAGGCTTATTTTAAGCAGTATTGTATGATAATCTATCTGGTGATGATGTGATGCATAAAAATTTATATTATTTTTCTTTGTTTTCAGCATAATTAGTATGGTCCTACAATACATTTCCAAAGACTCGTTTGATGTGAAAGCTCTGAGGGCTTTCAGGGTACTGCGGCCACTTCGCCTGGTGTCCGGTGTTCCAAGTTTGTATTATTTAATATTTCACTACTAAAATTATTTTTTATCTACTTTGGTTTTCGATATTTATACTCGTACTAGCGATACGCCTCCGCTTCACACGGGTGATTTCTCGATCTCGATCACTCACCGCGTCCCATTGTGAATACAAACCATCCAGAGACCAACACAAACACACACGAAATAATTTGAAAATTAAAACTTTTGTACAACCGACTTCAATATAAGTTTTTAAAAATAACACAATAATTATTGGTCAGACCTCGATCAAATTTATATAGTACCACATGAGAAACATCAGCTTTCAAATAAAAAAAGAATCATCGAAATCGGTTCACTCACAAAAAAGTAATGAGGTAACACAAATATAAAAAGAACATACAGTCGAATTGTGTACCTTCTTCTTTTTGAAGTTGTACGTGTGTTTATTAACAAAATGTGTAAGGTATATCGATTTATGCTGTTGTCTCAGGATCGTGCTTTGTGGCGTTCCTTGGGGGAAGCCTATGTTCAGCAGTAGACTTGTGAAGGGCTGTAATGGTGATGATGAATGATGATCTTTTGAACAAGGTATTTTTTCAGATAAATTAAAACTATCTGCGGTGAAACTTCATCGCCAAATACTTAGATACTGTTGGGTATCAAGCTCCACTTGTGCTGGTGGAATTCTTGACTAAATAAGAACTTCAATATGTAGACTGTGTAGGTAATTTATTGGTTGCTATAAGAGAGGTAGCCGTAATGCTTTCGTTCGCGACCGGGTTGTTACGAGCAAGAAGATGTTGCAGCGGTACCGCGTTGTCTGTGTAAACACGGCAACATTGGCCGCTGACGTACCGGACCATAGATAAAAAATCGTTAAATATAGAACGTTTCTGTTTAAAAACAATAATTTTTTAATCATAAATTTACAGTGCTAAAAAGTTTCGTTTATTTTCATATTATTTTTATTACAGGTCTTCAAATAGTTTTAAATTCTATCCTAAAAGCAATGATTCCGCTTTTCCACATTGCTTTTTTGGTGCTATTTGTGATCATTATCTACGCTATTATTGGCCTGGAGCTCTTTTCTGGGGTACTTCACGACACCTGCTTTTATATAGAAACTGGTAAGTTTACTTTTATAGGATAGGGCGACAAACGAGCACATAGTCCACCTAATGGTAAGTAGTTGCTGTGACCCATAGATATCCACATCTATCCTCAATAAAGAATCAAAATGCAGATGCGTTTTCACACGTGAGGACTAAGATGTAATACCTCTTTTCCAGTAAAAAGGGTCTCCGGTTCTCTACACTCACCTTACGAAACACAACAGTGTTAAGCTGCTAATTCACGCTGGTATTCTGTGAGAGCGTGGTCCTTCCCCGGTCGAGCCGACCGATTCGTGCAACAACTATACTACTAATATAGCAGCAGCATGACTCTACCACGTGTAAAAAGTGTTTTTATAATATTAATGAGACAAAGTAACATACAGTCCATCTGTTGGTAAATGGCTAATGTATTCCACGAACACCTGCAGCCAACTTCAAACAAAGAAGGTTATAGATATGTATTCGCCTCTCATGACTAAGGTAATTAATCTCTGTAACGCTTGTAAACACGGCCTATTGACTCCCTTCATACTAGACACAACAGGGCCAATACCTTTATTTGACGGCAAAAATAGGTAAGGGGGCGATGGACCCAGAGTAGGAGTCCAGGCATAAATAAAAGAAGTCCTACCACCATAGTAAAATAGTGAGTTCTGTAATTTATGTTTGAATAATTTTCCGGTCTATTTTGAAAACATTGACAATTTCTGAATACTATCGGAATATATATCAACTGTGTAGTTGATGCTTTAGTGTAACAAGGACCCGCAAACAAAGAGACTTGTTTTTACCATCACTTAACTAAGATAACATTATGCCATAAGATCGGAGGCAAACTAAGAAACAGGCAATGCAAGGGAGGAATCACTACACGAATTCCAAAAATTTGTTTGTTTTTATGGAAAGTGACAAATGAGCACACAGTTCACCAGATGGTAAGTATCCACTGTGGCCCATAGATTTCAACATCTATTCTCGATTTGACGGCTCCGTGGTGCAGTGCCTTAGCAATGAGTTGCTGCGATAAGGGCTGCGGGTTCGAATCACGCATAGAACACGTATTTTTTTTATAGGATAAGGGTAACAAACGAGCACACAGTCCACCTGATGGTAAGTGGCTGCTGCGGCCCATAGACATCTACATCTATCCTCTGTTACAAATCAAAATGTAGATGCGTTGTCACCCGTGAGGACTAAGATGGAATGCCTCATTTCCAGTAAAAAAGGCCTCCGGCCACCTGCACTCATCAAGCGAAACGGAGAGGTAAACCTCTACTTCACGCTGGTTTTCTGTGAGGTCGTGGTACTACCCCGGTTCGAGCCGGCCCATCCGTGCGACAGCAAAAGCTACCGCGTGGCTCTACCACTGTTAAAACGTAAACGTATTTGTGTGGCCTACAAATAATTGTTCCAGGTCTGGATGTTTGTCCTTCTGACATTTATGTATGTAAACTACCCCCACAATACAGGAGAAAATCCTAGTGTGGACGTAACGTTTTTTTAAAGATAAGATTTAAAGATAAAAATTAACAGTTTAAATGCAGGTACATTGTCACTCCTGAGGACTAAGATTGATACCTCGTTTCCAGTGAAAAGGGTCTCCGCGGTTCCTACACTCACCATACGAAATACAGCAACATCTGTGAGAGTGTGGTACATCCACGGTCGAGCCGACCTACGAGGGTGGCACTGAAAATTGTATTTGTGCTACATACATGTGTGTATTCGTGCTACATCAATAATATAGTAGCTATAGCATAGCTCTACCACGTTTCTTTTCAATAAATAAAAACTCCAGTTTTTCTTAGATTGGAAAATTAAATTGGAACAGAGATTTCCCCTGAGGTACTTAACAGTCATGTACCTGTTTGACCTTTACTCACAAGGCTTCCAGAGCATAAATGTTGGGTGTTTACTTAAGGAATTGCCATTTTGTATCAGATAATAAAGAAAATTTAATGAATAATGTCTTTAAATATTGAATAGCTGCGTGAATTATTTCAGGTGAAATGGTAGAAGAACCATCAGCTTGTAGCAGGGATCCTGATGTAGGCTTCCAGTGTGACGAAGGTCAAATTTGTAGAGACTATTGGAAAGGACCAAACGATGGAATAACCAATTTTGATAATATCGGTTACTCTATGTTAACAGTGTTCCAGTGCATTACTCTTGAAGGTTGGACTGATATTATGTATCATGTAAGTATTCGTAAATGAAATTATATTGCATGCTTTAAGCGCAAAGCGCGTAGGATATTCTATTAGCGCCTAAAAATCAAGATTCCAACGTTTTGTCGCATGAAATCGTATCTAACAATCATATTGAACATATAAATGATATAAAAAGCACATTGTCAGAAAGATGAATGATTGTTGAACTTATCATATATTTTTTTAAATCGATTATTTGCTATTTTTACATAAAAAAGCGGTTTTAGTGGCATAAGGTGTAGATTTATCAAGTCTGCATAGAAGCGTAAACACGATAACTTTTGAAAATATTAATTGTGCAACTCAATCTATTTTTTAAACTCTTCATCTATCATGTGGAAGCCATGGAATGTAAATGGCAGTTTAATTTTGTTTTGTCTAGTTATAATTAATTTTTTTCAGCTGAGAAATAGCGAAATTTTCGGTGTTTTGAGCAGTCTTGTGTTAATTTATTTTACTAAATACACTTTGCGTCACTCCCGGCTACAGAGTACTTTTGTAGTCCGGACTCAGCCGTTGTTGTGAGTGGTCGTTTGTTTACGGTGGTTCGTGTTGAAAAATATCGATCGCTTTAGAAATACAAAACATACCAAAAAGCAAAATTTGATACATACTTGACCAAGGTAGGTAGATATTATTATTATTTTTATAATCACAGATTTTTATTACAATATTTTGTTTCGCTAAAAGTACGCAGGATTTATATATATAAATATAATTATACGTCTTTTTGACTTTATGGAGACCTGAAGGTGTACTTCGATATCTGCTACTGAAACTCCGCCTGCCGGGTTTGGCCTCGTTTTAGTAGTTATGATGAGACCTTACCTCCGGATTAGAAAGAGTTATCTGAAGGTGTACTTCGATGACTGCTACTGGAACTCCTCGACGAGTAGTAATAGGTGTGCCGGCTTTGGGTTCGTTTTGTTAGATATGATGAGGCCTTACCTCCGGACTTGATAGAGTTACATGAAGGTGGATTTTGAGGATTGCTACTGGAACTACTCGACGAGGAGAACTAGATGTGTCGAGTTTGGGCTAGTTTTGTTAGTTACGAGTAGACCTTATCTCCGGTGTTGACGGAGTGATTTGATGGTGTACTTCGGTGACTGCTACTGTAACTCTTTGACGAATATAACTACAATTTACATTTTTTTAATTTTTTCACTATCGTATAAGCATCATGAGTTGTGCACTTTTGGATTTTCCAAACTTTTTTTAATTGAAGTTTGACATAAAATTATCGGAAAATTGGAAATATAGTAATAAGGTGATTAGTGAAAACTTGTGTGTATTTAAACTACTTAAAAAAAATTAGGTAAAATCATGTTATATGTTATTATTTTTGTAATGCGCTGGAAGCATGGACAATTAGATTTACCAATAGTTTTTACTTTTATAAAGATAATTGGTTTAACGAAACAGTGGGAAATCACGATTTAATTTAGTGAAGCTTAAGTTACGCTATCGAAATTTCCGAATGCCTCTGCAATATACAGAACAAGCTCCGGTGCATTTACTGCTCCCCGGGATGGAAACCTTGCTCTTTGATCTCCAACTTTCCTGCCACGGCCAAAGTTATTCAGTATTTACACCAACGATTGTCACATCTAATAATATTGAACATCAATATCACAGTACGGCAAATGAAACTGTTAAAATTATAATTGCTTATTTTCCACGAGCTCGGCGTTAAAGGAAAATATCACGAACCTGTAGATTTGAGAAGAGGGCGTATAAAGTCCGCCAAACGCACTGGAGCAATGCAGATCTCTAATTTCCATATAAACCTCTAAGAAATGAGCTTAGTAGTACTGTAGTGAGACTAGCTTAACCTTTTCCTATTTCCATGTCTGTTATCTGTTACAACCTATAAAAATCCACTGCTATACATAGGCCTCCCCCACAGTCTGCCACTTAGGGGGAGTTCTACTATAATTGTCAAGCTTGGAAGGCGGTTTGGCAACCGCAGTTTTTTATAATTTTGGGTTATTATCACTAAGATGCTGCTGCCCATCTCCTGTTTCATTCTCCCTCTGTTGCCGCTTACGAAACCCACAGGACGATATGGGGTAGTGGATATTCTTACATCGCCACTACATGGTCATAAAAAATCGACTAAGGTAATAATAATTCGATTTGTGGTACATAAGTTTTATTTTAGTTGTAATCTCGTAGTTTCACGTGGTAGAGCCATGCTTCACGTGGTAGAGCCATCCTGCAACTATATTATTGGTATAGTTGCAGCACGAATGGGTCAGCTCGACCGGGGAGGGACCACGCTCTCACAGAATACCCACGTAAAATAGCAGCTTAAAGCTGATGTGTTTCGTATGGTGAGTGTAGAGAACCGGAGACCCTTTTTACTGGAAATGAGGCACTCCATCTTAGTCCTCAACGGTGATAACGCATCTGCATTTTGATTCGTAATCGAGGATACATGTAGATGTCTATGGGCCACAGCAACCACTTACCATCATGTGGACTGTGTGCTCGTTTGTCACCCACTTCCTAAAAAAAAAATCAAGTGGTATTTCCACAATCTAAAAGAGCGTTTTCAGTATTAGTAAAAGTTAAAGTTACAGCCTATATATACGCGTCTTACTGCTGGGCACAGGCCTCCTCTCATGTCTGAGAAGGTTTTAGGGCAAGGAATTGTGCGCTGCGCTGTCTCAATGCGTGTTGGCGGACTTCATATGTCTCCGCAATATTTTTTTATAGCTTGTGGTATTAGTAAGTTTACAATTATTAGGGTAGCTCCTTTATTATCATTATAACAATGAAAAAAGTTTACATTAGTTTGAAAACAGTTTTACAAACAAAGTATATAAGAGAGTATTACACTTTTAAAAAGTTGTTGAGTTTGAAAATTAAAGAATATCATCTTACTATCTTTAATTTTCTCTGACTATCTCGGCGATTCTTATATCTTCTTGGAACGTAGTTCCTTATCGGACGTTACGAATTTGGCGGATGGGGGCAAGGCGAGAAAAAGTGTAAGATTTTTCCGTCACGATCCCTTCTCATTAATCATCAATAATATACTCGTAATACGTTCATCAATAATAATATACTACGAAAGGAACTTCGTTCCAAACGAGTGTTCCACGACACTCACGCATGTTTTTCTTTTAGATAGCTGATGTAAAAGGAAACACCTGGGTGTGGATTTACTTTGTGACGATGGTCATTTTTGGCAACTTCTTCGTTATGAATCTAATTCTTGGTGTACTATCAGGGTAAGTGAAGTACTTTGACTATCGTTTTAATAATAAAAATAGCTTGCTTTAAGAGGCATAATAAGATGATTAACACGTTTTTATCAAGTCACTTTCTTGTTTGTCTGCCTGTCTGTCGTTCCGAGTGACATCTCGTAATTCAGATTTCGAGCACTTTCGATGGGCTAGAGACTTCGGATGACAATGTAGGAATAGGCAAAAACGAAAAACGTGGTAGTAAATTAATTATTTTAGTACAAAATAAACACTTGTTTATAATCATTTCTTTAGTCCAACCATGAGTTCCGTCACGATATGCGATAATGTCTCTGATATTATCTATCACTTTAATTAGTTTTTTTTTCTTGTTTAATTTCAGAGAATTTTCAAAGGAAAGAGAAAAAGCGAAAAGCCGTGGCGATTTTCAGAAGTCGCGAGAAAGACAACAGTTTGAAGAAGACCTTAAAGGTTACCTTAATTGGATCACAGTTGCTGAGGAGTTGGACCTAGAGAATGATCAAGGGCAGAAAGATGAAGATAGAGATTCACCAGGTCTGAATATTCAAGCAGAGCAAATTATAGGATCACTTGTGTTAATATTAACAAGATTTAGGGTTAAGATGTCAATAAAAATATGTATACCGAAATTTTAAAAAGTTCTGCTCATATTAAAATTTTAGATTTCTGATTATTTACTGAAAGGTTCTCGAATGGCAGCCTCGTACCAGTAGGCGAAGTGTAGGGCGGGCCCTCACTAGATGAAACGACAACCTGGTAAGAAATACAGGAAGTCGAAGCATGCTCATGGATCATAACCGTGCTTTGTGAGATTCCTTCGGGGAGGCCTATGTTCAGTAGTGAACTTGTGACGAGTTCTATTGATGATAATGATGACTGCACAGTGTGAAGACTTATGCATGTGTTGCCAGTAACTAGTTGTGCTGTTATAAGTTTTGTATCGAAACGTGGTCCTTTGCTACTGGCCGTATGAGTGGCCGTATGAGGAAACTCAAAGTCACTCAACGATCTTTGAAGAGGTTTATTATGCTTAAGTTCCCCTGTTCTATTACGTGGACTGTGTGCTCGTGTGTTGCTCTAATTTCTATTAATAATATCTCTCGAGTGACTTCGCTTCTTACGGGCAAGCGCAGAGATGAGTAACCCATTCTCCATTTAATGTGGTGATGAACATATGAACCATGCCATGAGTTGATGGACACATATGGCTTAGGATCGTGTTTTGTGATATTCTGTAAGAGAGATGTGTGTGGCTGTAATAATTATGATTTCCAGAAGCATTATCTGTGAAGGACCTTGATCGTTTTAGATCTCTTCTTGATCGACTTCTTCTTGACTACAAAGAATATAGACCAAGGAAACTATAACACACACTACAAAGAGCCTGTTAAAATACAAAGTGTGTTGGTAGTGGTTTGGTAGTATTTCTAATGGACCTTTGTTTACTACTCTTTATCAGAAGGATATGCACTAGGTAGACCTACAGCATCTCCTGTTTTGAGGTTGTTGGTCGCTTTTTATTAATGATAAATAAGAATTTTATGAGAAGTCTTCAACGTGGTAGAGCCATGCTGCAGCTATATTAATAGTATAGTTGTAGCACGAATGGATCGGCTCGACCAGGGAAAGACCACACTCTCACAGAATACTAGCTTAAAATAGCAGATTAATGCTGCTGTGTTTCGTATGGTGAGTGTAGAGAACCGGATACTATAAACATTTAATTTCTTAGATCTTCTAAGTTCAAGTCGCAAAGATCGATTGACGATCGTAGTTTCATAATCGCTCCCGATTTCTGATTAGAAAATTCTGGGTCGTGTATTGGGAACTGTAAATGGTTTTACTTATATCATGAAATCAAACAATTATTACACCCACCAATGAAAAAAAAATAGAAAAAAAAAATCTTAATTTCACAACACAGTGGTTTATAATTAAAAACAGAGGTTGGAACCAACCTATATTTTTTTTTTACTTATTATAAGCCAGTGCTTGACCACAATCCCACCTGGTGGTAAGTGGTGATGCAGCCTTAGATGGTTAATCGCACTGTCTTATCTTAACAAAAGCCTATTCACTCTTGCCTTGGAGACGCCTAGATTGTATTCGGACGGAAAGATAGACGCCGGCAAATTATTCCACTCCTTTGCTGTACGCGTTACAAAAGACGAAGCAACCCGTTTGGTTCTAATGCGTGGAATATCGACAACAAAGGGATGAAGACCCGCCGATCGTCTGGTTGTCCGATGGTGGAAAGGAGAGGGAGGAATTAAGGCGTGTAATTCCTACGCACACTCACCGAAATGCATCCTATAGAATACCGAGAGACCGCCCATAGTTTAGGTTCTGAGAAAATTCAATCCCTAACAACTGAAGGCGGTCAGTGTACTCCAAGGATACATTCCGGAAAGTAGGAGCCAAGGTGAGCGGGCTCCTTTTAGCGGTAAAAAGACACGCTTGTGTTTTTGAGGCGTTAAATCTCACGAGATTGGCATCGCCCCATTCGGAGACTGCCTGTAGTGTGAGACTCACACGCTCAACCATAGCCTCTCTTTCTGACTGGATTTGATCCCGACTGGCCCGGGCGCTTGGTTGGTATCTCTCCACAACTGTGCTGTCGTCTGCATATCCATAAACACCGGGAATAAGCAGATCATTTATATGCAGCAGGAAGAGAGTTGCGCAGAGAACGGACCCCTGAGGAACACCGGCGTTAGTCGCCACAGTATTGGAGGAGCAACCATCATTGACGACCCGGAGAGACCGTTCACTCAGAAAGTCCTCCACCCAGATAATTAGGCTAGGGGATAAGCCGTACGCTGAAAACTTACCAAATAGACTAGCGTGCCAAACCCTGTCAAAAGCCTTCGAAACGTCGAGGGAAACTGCAAGTGCTTCACCACTGTTCTCGAGGGCTTCGCCCCATATGAGAATGGCATACGATAGAAGGTCCCCAGTTGATCGATTTCGGCGAAACCCGTACTGGCTGATGAGATCACTTTGCTTTTGGTATGCCATGAGGTGGGCGTTCAATATACGCTCCATAATCTTGCAGAGTATGGAGGTAATGGAAATTGGCCTATAGTTGGCAGGGTCGGTACGGCTACCTTTTTTAGGCGCAGGCTGCACATTGGTCAGCTTCCAAGTTTAAGGCACTATTCCAGTCCTGAATGAGAGGTGGAACAAGCGTCAACACAGGAGACAACTCAGGTGCACAGACCTTTAGAACTATAGCTAGTATACCATCAGGTCCACTAGTTTTGTTCACGTCTAGACTTAGCAAGGTTTTAAGAACCTCCTTGTTGGTGATACGGACCTCAGACATAGAGGTAACGCAGTGAGGTAATTGAGATGGTACGCTGTTGCTACTGTCCAGACGCGAATTGCAAGCAAAAAGAGAAGCAAATAAGTCCGCTTTCTCCTTAGACGCATGCGCCAGTGAGCCATCTGGTTTTATCAGCGGAGGGAGTGTAGACCGACAGAAGTTTGTCTCGACCGCTTTGGCGAGAGACCAAAAAGCTCTACTGCCAGATGGTTTGACAGAGAGCTTTGTGCCGATGCGTTTAATGCGGTCGAAACTGGCTTGGCGTAATGCATTTTTGCACGACTTGGCGGCTTGGTTAAAGGCTCTCTTCTTAAGGCTAACATCCGGAGCTTTACGGTCTCGACCAACGACCCAGAATAAGTACGCCATATGCTTGTGCTTTTCAGCACGAGCGCACTCGGCGTTAAACCAAGGGCGAGCTTTACCACCAATGGGCACGTCAGCAAAGGGGATGAAATACTCCATCCCTTGACGTATCACATTGGTTATGGCATCCGCACAGCTCGATGGGTCTCCAGAGGAGAAGCAGACCTGCCGCCAAGGATAAGATTCAAAGAAATGCCGCATCTCATCCCAATCTGCTGACTTGTATCGCCACATTCGACGCACTCCGCGGAAATCGTAGTTAGGTGGGGAATATAACGACACAGATTTCACCAGACAGTGGTCAGAAGTTACAGTTAGTAAGTACCTGTCTGGATTGGTCGTCAGCAGAAGGTCGAGGCAGTTGGATGTGTGCCCATCCACATCAGGTACCCTAGTCGCTTGTTGTACCAGCTGGGAGAGCCCCAGCGACAAGGCAAAATTCCACGCCTCTCTCCCAGCGTGGTTATGTCTTCTGGTATGGGAACAGCCAGTCCTGATGACAGGCATTAAAGTCCCCCAGAAAAACCAACTGTGCATTAGGGTACCGATTCAGAGCCACATCAGAGGCTTCACTGAGGAGTTCAAACAGCCTAGTTGTCTCCTGGTCGCCGCTGTGCGATCGGTAGACACAAGAATAAATAATTTTATCCATTCATGTGTCTATCAATCGTAGAAAAAGTGGGGTCTTCAAGGTGACGGAGACGCTTACAGCAGATGTCGTTGCGGACGTAAACACAGACTCCGGCGCGCTGATGGAAATTATGCTCCAATATACAGTTCGCTTAACAGTGATAAATAGTAAATACTTAACAATTAACAAATATTAAAAAAAAAACCGCACTCCAAAACAAGTAGAAATTAGGATAAGTACTTTAAGAGGCGTCTTTTAAATAATGCAGTAGTGCTACATTCTTTCACATCATTAGGCAGCTTATTGTGAAGTTGCACTCCATCAAACATAGTCATTGTATGATACTTAATACGGTAAAAATGTGACAAAATTTACTAAAAAACAAAAGAAGAGCGTGCAGTTTAAAATAAGACGATTCTCTATCATTGTGCAAGATAATAGCTGAATGTCGTTGTCGTGCCATTTAGGGAGGCTTCTTTAATACATCCTGGATTTTTGTTATATTAAATATTTATGAAATAATTTACCACAATAATACTTGTTGTACAGGTAAAAAGGAACGCAAAAGTAACGACGAATCTCAGAACAATATGAACGCAAATGGCGAGCAAACGCAAACTTCTACTTGCAAAATTTATTGCAAAAGATTTGATAAGGTGATTAATTTTATATAAACTTAATGTAGAAAGGTATTCAAAACCAGAATAACAGACATAATATCTCAATGTATCAGTAAGCTGAAGTGGCAATCGGCCGACCATATAGCTCAACATATCAACAACCGATGGGGTAAAATGTTCTCAAACAAAGTACCCGTAAACGAAGTCTAGGATGGCCTCACACTAGATGGAATAGCGACCTGGTAATTGATGCAGGAATTCGACAGATGCAGGTGGCTTAGGACCATGGTTGGTAGCACTCCTTGTGAAACGACTTTGTTTAGCAGTGGACTTGTGATGTGATAATGATGATGAAACTGAATGTAAATTATTTTGTACGTATTGTACCTTGCTTCTAATGTAATCAATTAATAGACACCTTAGTCTTCATTTCTAATATTCATGATATAGCATAGATAATTTTCCCTGAATTGTCTTTACCTTATCCCTTTTATCAGTGGTGAAGTCAAGACGCGAAAACAGCTTCTCTTGGATATTTTAAGGGATAGAGCTACTATTCTGCCTACGCGTCTTAGTAGTTACCACTCCCTTACCCTTTTATGCTGCCTAGCAACAATACATCCACTCATGTACTCCGGTATTGAAACGGTAAAAAAGGATTGTGGCGGCGCTGTCGTCACGCCACAAGCGAAACACATCGAAGCCTAAATCGCGCTAACAAAGTTCCGAAGTTAAAGCAGAATATATAGAATCGCTCCGAACTACTACTCGAAGCGTTGGCCGTTCCCCGGGCAGAACACCTTGCCCGGAGATCTCCCCTTTTCCTTCCACCCGCCACAGGATCATTACAAGCTATCAAGGATAAGATTCAGTCCTTAGCAGTGATAACTCATTAGTGTCCCTTTTAAATAATTGTAGGGGGATATGACCTTACAGGGATCCACCCGATGGTAACTACTACAAAGAAGACTACAGATGCGTTGTCTCCTTTTTTACATTATTCTAAACCAGCGCTTAACTACAATCTCACTTGATGGTAAGTGGTGATGTAGCCTAAGATGGTGCGTGTGGAGAACCGGAGACCCTTTTTATTACCTTTTTTTATAGGAGAGGTGGCAAACGAGCATGCGGCTCACCTGATGGTAAGTGACTACGGCCGCCGATGAACAACTGCAACACCAGGGAGGGAATCGCAGATGCGTTGCCGGCCTTTTAAAAAGGAGTGCGCTCTTTTCTTGAAGGTCTCTAAGTCGTATCGGACCGGAAGAATCGTTGGTGGTAATCGATTCCACAAGGAAGTTGTGCGAGGGAGAAAACTTCTTCTAATCGCACAGTGGTGGACCGCCAATCATCCAGATGGTATGGATTGTATCGCGAGTTTTGTCGCAATGTGCGATGGTGAAATTGAGCGGCTGGAGTTAGTCCGAACAATTCCTCAGAGCACTCCCCGTGATAGATGCGATAAAATACGCAATGAGATGCAACATCTCTACGCAGTACCAGTGAATCAAGCCGATCGGAAAGAACTCGGTCGTCGACGATTCGAACCGTTCTGCGCTGGATGCGGTCAAGTGGAAGGAGCTGGCACTGGGGAGCCCCTGCCCAGAGATGGGAGGGGACTATACAAGGCATGCCATCTTAGTCCTCAGGGGTGACAATGCACCTGCATTTTGATTGTAAATCGAGGATAAATGTAGATGTCTATGGGCCACAGCATTCTCTTACCATCAGGTGGACTGTGTGCTCGCTTGTCACCCGTATTCTATAAAATATTACGATGAATAAAATATTTGATGAATGAAATTGTGTACTTTTTCAGATCAACCGTCGCATGCGTAGAGCGTGTAGAAAAGCTGTCAAGTCGCAAGCCTTCTACTGGGCGATTATCGTACTCGTTTTCCTTAACACTTTGGTGTTAGCCTCAGAACATTATCAGTAAGTGGTTTCATTTTAAAGGTTATCTAATGACCCGAGAAGTGGCGGTGCAAGAATATCTACCACTCCATATAGTTCTGTGTGTGTCGTAAGAGTCGATAGAGGGAAAGAAGCCAGGAAATAGGCAACGTTATTCTAATAACATCTGGATGATAAAAAACTGCATTTGTCAACACGCCTGCCAAGTTTGCCTACTATGGCAAATATCCTACCTTTGAAACAATCTGTGGGGGAGGTTTCTGTTTCGCAGTGGACTTTTTATAGGCTGTTATAATAATGATGATCTTTACTTTCATCTTTTTCATCAGGTTAGGTTTTATTTACGTGGTAAAGCCATGCTGCAGCTATATTATGGTTGAATCACGAATGGGTCGGCTCGAACAGGGTCGGCACACGCTATCACAGAATACCAGTTTAAAATAGAAGCTTAATGCTGCTGTGTTTCGTATGGTGCGTTTAGAACGGAAGAGCCTTTTTACTGGAAAGAAGCTTTTCATCTTAGTCCTCAGGGGTGACAACGCATCGGTATTTTGATTCTTAATTGAGGAAAAACGTAGATGTCTATGGGCCACAGCATTCTCTTACCATCAGGTGGACTGTGTGCTCGTTTGCCATTATTCTATAAAAACATTTTAATTAAACTGATACAATTTTAGCTCAGTATTATTTTGACCGTTACTCACACTTGCGTGTGGCTCCAACGATGATGAGAAAGATCTTCAAGAAAGGTGACAACGCTCTCTTGAAGAACTACAGACCGATTTCCCTTCTGAGCCGCGTCTACGTGCTGTTTTCGAGAGTCATTACGAATCGTCTCGCGCGCAGACTTGACGACTTCCAGCCTCCCGAACAAGCCGGTTTCCGAAAGGGCTTTAGCACCATAGACCACATACATACCCTTCGGCAAGTTGTACAGAAGTCCGAAGAGTACAATCTGCCACTATGTCTGGCGTATGTGGACTATGAGAAAGCCTTTGATTCCGTCGAAAATTGGGCGGTGCTGCAGTCCCTTCAGCGGTGCCAAGTTGACTGTCGGTATATCGAAGTGTTGAAGTGCTTGTACAGTAGGGCTACGATGGCTATCCGAGTACAGAACCAGAATACGAAACCTATCCAATTGCAGAGAGGTGTAAGACAGGGTGACGTCATATCCCCGAAACTCTTCACCGCTGCATCGGAAGACGTTTTCAAGCTTCTGGACTGGAAAGGATACGGTATCAACATCAATGGCGAGTACATCACTCACCTTCGATTTGCCGACGATATAGTCCTTATGGCAGAATCGCTGGAGGACCTAAGCACTATGCTCAATGACCTCAATAGTGTTTCCCAACGGATAGGTCTTAAGATGAACATGGACAAAACAAAGATCATGTTTAATGTCCATGTCACACCTATGCCGGTAGTTGTTGGGAGCACTAAGCTCGAAGTTGTTGACGAGTATGTTTACCTGGGACAAATAGTCCGACTAGGTAAGTCCAACTTCGACCGAGAGGTCAATCGACGGATTCAACTCGGCTGGGCAGCGTTCGGGAAGCTACGACACATCTTCTCGTCAGACATACCTCAAAACCTTAAAACGAAATTGTACAACCAGTGCGTGTTGCCAGTGATGACTTACGGAACTGAGACGTGGTCCTTCACTGCTGGCCGTATGAGGAAGCTCAAGGTCGCTCAGCGAGCTATGGAGAGGGCTATGCTCGGAGTTTCTCTGCGTGATAAACTTAGGAATGAGGATATCCGCAGTAGAACCAGAGTGACCGACATAGCCCAACGGATTAGTAAGCTGAAGTGGCAGTGGGCCGGCCATATAGCTCGAAGAACCGACAACCGATGGGGAAGAAAGGTTCTCGAGTGGCAGCCTCGTACCGGTAGGCGAAGTGTAGGGTGTCCCCCCACGAGATGGAGTGACGACCTGGTAAGACATGCAGGAAGTCGATGGATGCAGGTGGCTCAGGACCGTGCTTTGTGGCATTCCTTGGGGGAGGCCTATGTTCAGCAGTGGACTTGTGAAGGGCTGTAATGATGATGATGATGATGATGATTATTTTGACCACAGAGGCAACCAGCGCTCGTATTCTGCTATTCAAAAAGTGGAGTAAAGAATAGTCTATGAATCAAAGATCTTCATTTCTTTTTCAGACAACCTCACTATCTTGACGACTTCCAGAATTACGCTAACTACCTGTTTGTGGTTCTGTTTACGATAGAAATGCTTGTCAAAATGTACGCTTTGGGCATCCAGGTATGTAATATTTACTCAATTCTTCAATGTAAATTAAAAACTACTAGTCAGACCTTGATGAAATTTATTTGGGTCTACATGAGAGACAAATAAAAAAAGAAAATCGGTTCAATTAGAAAAAAGTTACGAGGTAACACACATATTGAAACAAAAACAATAAAATACAGTCGAATTGGGTACGTCTTCTTTTTGAAGTCGGTTAAAAATAGCTTTGGTAAAAGTACGTTCGTTCTACATAAATAAAATTATTAGTCTTAAGTTCATTAACAGGACTAATAATAAGACATCCTTTTTATCTTTATCTCCTTAGGGATAATTAAGCAACAGTTTTTTTAGTTATGTTTTTTAAATGCAGTATCATTCGTTGACGATGACATCGGCAAGATTTTTTATGGAATATATCGTAGTGATCTGTTTGGGCACGCATGTGTAAACATTTTCTTTAAATATCTCGTGTACTACGCGGGTTTCGTAAGACGCGACCGAAGAAAACTAAAACAGAAGAAGTGCGGCATTTTCTTGATAACAGTTCAAAATAAGAAACAACTGTAGTTGCCAATCCTGCCAAGCGTCTGCCAAGCGAGGCAACTATGGGCAAATATGAGAAATGAAGTATAAATGAAAAAATTAAAATTATGTTTATGTTCCTATGTTCAGCAGTTGACTTTGAAAGGATGTAAAGGTAACGGTAACAGGTGTACTACCCGTGCGGTTAAAGAATGGGATTGAAAATGGCGTCGCTTCTATTCACTTCTCGCTCGCACACTGGCGCTATTTATACTCACACCTGCCGGTAAAGACTGCAAAAAAAAATACGTTGCGTTTTACGTTTTTTCGTACGTTCTATAACTTCAGTCCAACTTGTCATTGGAACCAACGATAACAATTTCCCACAAAAAATAAATCAGTCTGATTTTGCTAATTTTTGAGCTACGCCGTGGTAGAATGTTTTCTTCATAATTATTGTTGATTTAATTATACAATTTATAAAATAAAATATATACTAGGGCAATGAACCTAAAACTAAAAACCTTAAAAATATAATATAATAACTAAAATGTATTATTAAAAAGGAGTCCCTTTAGGTTGATTTTGTATGTTAATATTATTGTATACAATATTTACATCCCATTGAGACATTTTTCCGAGCCAATCTTTGGAACAGCTGAACCGATTGTAATAAAACTTCACGAACAAATAGAGAATGATTCTAGGAGTGATTTAGACTAAACTTTATCCAAAAAATTTAAAGATTCTATTAAAATAGAAATCTTAAGTCTAAATAAAGCTACATTAATAGATCCCACTCAGGAGAAGCCAGAGGGGATCGGACTTGGATATACAATTATTAAGGATTATAGTGCCCGAGCGTATCGCAAGCACAGTTGTCCATTCCTTCACTCTTATAGCCCGATAGGACGGTGATCCGACACGACCGGAGAGATCATGCGCAGGACTTGCAGCTTTAAGTGCTTGGCACAGGGATGAAACACCTTACTTCCTCACTTCAGGTTCCTACTGAGAATTTTTTGTCAGAAAAAACCAATCACTGATTTTGGCCCGGCCCTGGATTTGAACCCGTGACCTTCTTGACCACCAATCGCGTTTACGACTACTTGATCAGGGACGCAGTTAAAACAATTGTATATAGCCTATACAAGTCCCACGGCTGCGTAAATGCCTAATCACAGAAAGGAGAGATGATGCGTCCGTCACGTTGTTCCAGTTGCATTTTGAATTCTCGTATGTGTTTGAGTTATTTTATACTTCAGACGTACTGCTTTCCCTTGTGTGTTTCAGCTGCAAAGCCCCCGAAACGTCGGGAACTAAAAACAATTAAGTAAATATACCTCCCACCCTCCTTCAATGCGGAGGCTGGCCGCTAAGTCTTAGCGGCCAGCCTCCGCAGTGTCTACTTCACCTGAGGATGCCTCGTGTAGAGGCGAAACACGTGTCATATTTTCGAGAGTGGTGTGTCGTGCCTAGTGTGGTGGTGCTGGGGATGTTAGTGCTGGGATCGACGGCGACTGGTATAGTGCGCGTGATTGATGGAGGGTGGGAGGTCCCCTTAAAACTGGGCAGGACACATCATTTTCTTTCTTTACGCGGAATTACGCAAATTAGTTTATAACAACCCCATTAATTTCACTATCTCATGAGTCACATATGAACATTTCATTGGTGCGGGCACAGAACCCGTGTTACTCTCATACTTAGCGCTGAGCTACCATGTTTTTCTGCTACAGTTGACTCTCGATAATTTGAAACTCAAGGAACGAGAGCAAAATTTTAAATTACCAGGAGTTCAAAATAGGGAGCGAGGAAAATATTAAGTAAGCAAGAGCTTGATCAAAGTTCGTGATTTATTATTTTAAAGATTTGTATAATTATTCACAAATGTTCATTTTAAAAAGAAGTCCGTAAATTTCTGTTGAGCGTTGACAGGTCTGTGCGTGTATGTAAACATACGACAGGTCTATGCATAATAAACGCTACAAATTATCGAGAATAGGGAAGCCCAGATTTCAAAATATTGCATGTTGGCAGGCAAAGTAATATTCAACTTCAAATTACCGAGGGGACTAATTAATATTGATTTTATGCAATTTATCGAGTATTTTTCAAGAGACCGGTAAAAAAAAATTCAAATTATCAAGAGATTCAAATTAATGAGTGTCAAATTATCGAGAGTCGAATGTACCACGTTTTCTTGCTACCACCAATTTGTAAAAATCTATTCTTGTCTTTCTATTTTCAGGGTTACTTCGTCTCCTTATTCAACCGCTTTGATTGTTTCGTCATGGTGTGCTCGATAGTAGAGTTGGCTCTAACGCACACTGATATCATTCCACAGCTGGGTATTTCTGTGCTGCGTTGCGTACGACTACTCAGGGTGTTTAAAGTAACCAAGTGAGTATTTTTATCTAACTGATCAAAACACCATGCTATTTAAAAAAAAACTCCCTGTAGAGAAAACCTTACGCCAGAGTTATTTTTAAAATTAAAGTTACAGCCTACATACGTCATACTACTGGGCATATGCCCAGTAGTGGGTTTCAGGACAAGGAATTATACGCCGCGCTGCCCCAATGCACGTTAGCGAACTTCACACGTCTTCAAAATATTTTTTTCTCTACATCTCAGACATGCACGATGTTCTGTTCACGATGTTTCCCTTCACCGCAGAGCACGTGTAAATCAGCACTTAAAATTGCAATTAACAATTTAATTGGTGCCGGCGGTGTACAAACCCGAATTGCTCGCGTACTGTGAAATTTACAGCGAGCCCTTAGTCCCTGAGTTGTGGTAGCTCAAAGTTATTTTTACCTGTGAGAAATCAGATAATCTTGCAAAAAAAAAATACCAAGATAATGTGAAAGGAAAGTGTAGGATAAAGTTTTATTTACATCAAGAATACATAAATTATTTTTAACTTTATATAGACCAGTGCTTGACTACAACGTGGCAGAGCTATGCTGCAGCTATATTATGATTGTAACACGAATGAGTCGGCTCGACCGAGGAAGGAACACGCTGTCACGGAATACCAGCGTAAAATCAATAGCTCAGTGCTGCTGTGTTTCGTATGGTGAGTGTAGAGAACCGGACCCTTTTTACTGGACACGATGCGTTCCATTTTTGTGTGGATAGACTTTTGTGAGCAGGACTTTTACATTTTTTAAATTTTTTATCAATTCTTTTGTTCTTTCCAGGTACTGGCGATCTCTCTCTAATCTTGTTGCTTCTCTGCTTAACTCCATCCAATCTATCTTCTCCCTTCTTCTTCTACTTTTTCTGTTCATCATGATCTTCGCGCTGCTGGGAATGCAGGTTTTCGGTGGAAGATTTGACTACGACCCTGTAAAAGAAAAGGAGAGGCATAACTTTGACTCTTTCTGGCAGGCTGTTTTAACAATGTTTCAAGTAGGTATCAAAAACACCGGTCAAAATGGATTGTTCTTGTAATTTTATATATTTGCTTCTTTGAATTGGTTTTAGATATTAACGGGTGAAGATTGGAACGCAGTCATGTATCACGGTATTAATGCATATGGTGGTTTTGATTCACCTGGCATGCTTGCATCGATTTACTTCATAGTTATTTTTATCTGCGGTAATTGTATCCTTTGCAATAATAGGTGCTAAGGTAAAAAAAATATAATTAGTTTACTCTTATGCATAATGTATTTTGCAGCGAACGAAAAGTACACTTGTATTTTGTGATTACTATAATTTTAATAATCTTTAAGATATTTGAAGTTTTTTGAAAAGTATTTTATTATCTATTTTAAATTTTTGTTCAAAACTTAAGGCATATTTTGTAATAAACATTTTAAAGCCGTGTTTCCTTAATGATATTATTTAGATATTTTATTGAACGTTTTCTTGGCCATCGCTGTAGACAATTTGGGAGATGCTGAAGAAATGGAAGAAATACAGAAAGCAAAAGAGGTAAATGTTAGTTTAACAATTCCGGTAAATGAAAAGGTCTTGTTCACTTAAAATAAGCCACAGTAAAATTAAAATTGGAAAGATTTCCATTATATTTACATTTTCTTTTCTTTTCAATCTAATTTTATCTTATTGTATTTTACCGTTTGGTTTCCAAACATTGTATTAAAGTTGGTAAAAAATTACTTCGCGTACATCCGCTCGATAAAATAAATCTAGACTCTGCGGTGGCTGACCGCTAAGCTTAGAGGTCAGGCACCGCAGAGTCTATATTACCTGAAGATGCCTCGTGTAGAGGCGAAACACGTGTCGTATTGTCGTCGATGGTGTCTCTTTCCTAGTGTAGTGGTGTTGGGAGTATTGGTGCTGGGATTAGTGGTGACGGTGATAGTAGGAAGGACGGGAGGTGCACAACATTTTATTTTATCGAGCGGATGTACGCGAAGTAATTTTTTACCAACTTTAATATAATGGACTTCCGCAAAGTAACGCCTGATTCTATTAATTATCCAAACATTGTAATGAACCCATCTTTCTCTATCTATGTCAACCAATATAACCAAAATTAAAAATTTTCAAAACGCCCGGAACAAATTTGCTGATGAACCTGAAAAAGCTGAACCGACTTTAATAAAACATGTCTAAGAACCACCGCTCAAAACCTGCTCTTAAATTAAAAAAATGCACCCAAATTGGGTTACCAGTTTAAAAGCTATGGTACATAGCGGTCAAACTTGTAACACTCCACTTTTTGCGTCGGTGGTTAAAAAATATTTTTTTCGCATACAGGAAGCTGAAAATCCTGAAGCTGGTAATCCTCAGTTAGAAGAAGATAGAGGCGAGACTGACGACGAATACGTTAACGAAGAAGAAGGTTATTCTAGTGAAGGGTTAGTAATTATTGAATAAAATTAAATAATTCAAATTATATTTAGAGGCAAATTTTAAATGAAATTAATTAATTATTAATCCTACGAATAAGAAACCAAAGTTTGGGACCATATATCTTCACAAAATATTAGGACAGAATATGCGTAAGGTTAAGCCTTAAAGTTAGAATGAACTGGTAAAGAACTTGTAGGAATGGTTGGCTTACGATGCAATAACAAGAGCTGTTATGATTGATGTATACTTATCGCAGATAAAATTAAGTATTACATTTAAGTATTTCAAAAATACCACAAATACCCACAGCACAGAACATTTCTCCGCCACTTGCCTGATATCTCTAAATCGTGATCTTTATAAGTTAACATCTTTATAAATGCATAATTGAACAAACTATAAATATTAGTTGTCGATCCTACACGATCTGAGACCTACTTTTCTAGTAAGGTATTATGTTCGATCGGAATACAAAGCAAGTGGAAGCTTAAATAGTTATTCAATAATTTTCCTTTTTTTGAGTATAATAATAAACGTATAATAATATTATTAAATATAACAATTGTTATTGTTTAATGCAGCCAAAAGTATAAAAAATACAAGAGAGTAGCAAGGTAAGTAGAATTGCTTATAATTATAAAATCCCAAGTTTTCTTCTAAGACAAAAGGAATCTTTAAAAGTTATTAATTTACACAGGTCAGAGAATGAATACGAAGAAACAGGATCCGAAGAAGAAGTTGATGAACAAGAATCTGAAGAAAGAAACGACGTAAACGAAGTTTTGGTCAACAACGATATAAAACAAAACGGTATTTTTGTAATTTCGTATACATAGATTAGTATTTCAACATTTTATATTTAGTTTAAATTTCTGGATCTCGGTGATATAATGGTCCACCTAATGATTACAATTGCTTAGATTAGAACAGTTAGAATTATGAATAATTTAGATATTTTATTCATCAGGAAATTAAATTTGAGTTTGCCTGTACCATAATTGAAAAGTATAGTTACAGACTATACAGGGCTATTTTTCAAAGAGTAGCCAAATTTTAAGCTTAAGTTGAAATATATAAATAATGATATACCGTGCAGTTTATGAAAATACGAGTACATAATAGTCTTCTACTTTTATTTGAAATTATCCCAAATTGAATGTGATTTATGGGCAACAACGTATTTGTCTACCGATCGACCCTTACAAATGTGTGCGTGCGCAATAAAATTAGTTAAAATAATGCATTACAACGCATTTTGAATTTAAAAGATAAAAAGGACATAATTTTTGAGATTTTTTTAATAAATTTTTCTTCGCCACTTGTGTAATCTACTTATTCTGAACCTTCGCAGCAAATTTGACCGGTTATTGCAAAATAACGCTGTATACGTCCCACTTTTTGGCGCATGTCACCTTAGCGGATAGACTTCATATTATGTAATAAAAATATTTTTAATTTCTCAAACATGCAGGTTTTCTCACAATGTTTTTTCTTCATCGCCGAACACGTGGTAAATCAGCAATTAAAATTTAAATTAACAATTTAATTGGCGTCAGCAGGGATCGAACTCGAGTTGCCCGGGTTACGGTGAGGAGTGAGGTTCTAATCCCCGAGCTCTCTTAGCTCTAATCAAGCATATGTTGTATTCTAGCATTTTTTCTAAAACCAATGGTTGAATAAGTTTTCTTAAATATCACAGGAGACGTAAAGAAAGACGAAACACAATCCATGAAACGGCAGCCAACAGTATCTGCTCGCCCACGTCGTCTGTCAGAAGTGGAAATCAAATCGCAGGAGAAACCAATACCTGAAGGCAGTAGTTTCTTCATATTTTCCAAAAACAATTGGTAAGATCGATCGGAAAATCGACAGAATGTCATGAATGAACCAAATTATTTATATTACTTTTTGACTCACATCACCAAACCAATCTGACTGACATCACCAAATTCAAAATAATACTGTGTATATTATACATGTATGGTCCTATGTGGTACATAAATTACAAATATTCCTATAATGTCAATTAATATTATTTTTATATAATACTTTCTTCAGCCAATGTTACGCAAATTACAACAACAATAAATTACGTACTCACGCAGTTACGCATGCGCACACGAACAGACACACCCACACACACACACACACACACACACACACACACACACACACACAGAGAGAGAGAGAGAGAGAGAGAGAGAGAGAGAAAGACAGACAGACAGTCAATGTTCTTGGTTATTTGCGATACAAGTTTAATGCCTGGTGTAGAAATCGCTCTATTGTTTAATAATGTTAAATGTTTTGGTTAAATAAATCTAATGTATATTTATATTTCATTTCACCAACAGGTTCCGAGTGACATGTTATAGAGTGCAAAACAACTCCTGGTTTAAGAATTTGATTCTTATTTGCATTTTGGCTTCATCGCTAATGTTGGCTATGGAGGAGCCTGTGCCTACCGGAGTTACTAATGAGGTAAACGAATTTCACTATTGACTTAGGTTTTGAAAGCTGCATGATTTATTTTATATTTTATATTAATGATAAATATAAAGAATGATAAAAGTTAACAGCATGTTAAGTTTCAAGTTCGCAAATCATGCTACATGCCTAATTTCCTGGTCCTGGTGGTCTGAATACAATTTGATGACGATAGACGGAAAGAAAATTTTTGACTCTACGAATTAAACGTATGTTTTATGATATTTAGATCCTCCGCAAGATCGACTACTTCTTTACGACGGTGTTCACTATCGAATTGGTACTAAAACTCATCACTTATGGCTTCATTTTTCACAAAGATGCGTTCTGCCGGTCCGCTTTCAACCTTCTGGACTTACTGGTCGTCATTGTCTCCCTCGTGTCTCTTACAGGGTAAGTTGTGATTAGATTTAATATAGTATAAAGGTGCTTAGAATAAAAGGTTTCGTACGACAAAACAGTTACCTATAGGGAAGCGATTCACGTTATATAATCAGTATTCTTACTCATAAATAAGTGCAAGTCTAAATATAGTTAATATTGTCTTGATTGTTATACAAAAATAGAGAAAAATCATATATTTACATCAATTTTTTTAATTCATTTCCATGTTCTCAAAAACATTTCAATAATCGTTTAAATCAGTTATATTAGTTGATCACGCTTATACATAGACAGATATATTTAGAACTAGCTGTGCCCGCGGCGTAGCTCGCGTATACAGGTTTTACATAAACAATTTGTCGTTTAGGTAAGAGAATATTAAACGATTTATTTCATTACTGTATCAATAAGTGGTAACTAAATAAATCATTATCATCAAAGTTCTAAGTCGTTTATGATAGAGCTTCTGTGTAAACGACGTGAGAAGTAGGCTTAGCCGGGGTGTACACTAAAAGGTTACGGGGGCTACTAACGCGGGAAAAAGCAACATAGAGTTGGCCATGTGCAAAACAGTCAGTACTGAGGTACACTCCTACAACGCGTAAAGTTTGACCTTGCGCTTTATTTACGGTCATCGCATAACACACGCTCACTGTAACTGGGAACTGAACGCGCTTAAAACTGAAAGGAAAGTTACTTCTTAATAGAAGGTTTTTGGGCAGTGCTGCCAGATAAAAAAAACTAATTCAGCTCTAGGACAACACAAAAAGCGCTAGATTTCATGAAAACAGCGCTTTAAAAAAGCCCTAGATTTCGCGCTAAATTAACTACAAACAAAGTTTGTGTTTTTTTATATAATCATAATAAAGAAAACAACATTAAGTTTTTTTTGTGGCAATATTTTTTTGATGTATCAATACTTCGCAGGACATAGACTTATAATTATGGCAATTGCTGTCAACAGTAGTTAGTACTGTACGAACAATAAAAATGTCATTAATTGTTTTAAAGTGCAATGTATTTCGCAACTTAGTTTCAGATGTCAGCATCTGATTGCGGTTGCTACACAGTTTCTTTGTGTTATAACTTCTAAGTAACTTTTAACTTAGCTGTGCTCTAAGCAACTGACTGAAACTGAATAAAGCAAAATAAATGCGTTGCCAAAACCATGAACAAAAACTTTAATAAAGGGGTTTCCCCGCTTATAGTCGTCGGTAAAAAAATCAAGTTGATCATCCTAAAGGGGAAGCCAGGAGATCCATAGCACAGGGTATCCTAGTTTGGACTCGTCTCTAATGCTCTTTGTTTTGTGGAAAAAATATGTTTGAAAAAGATAAACTGCAATGTACTATTTGTGGGAAAAAATAATAAAGGTCATTATTATTATTATCGGTAATGTGGACTAACAGTGCTGCTATAAAAGAGTTAATAACCCGCTAGTCGCTAAAATATTGAAATGTGTGCTAAATACACCAAAAAGCGCTGGATTAAGCTAGGGCTAAAATTTCGAAATGCGCGCTATACATTCCAAAAAAGCGCTAAATCTAGTTCCCAAAGCGCTAAAGTGGCAGTACTGATTTTGCGTATATTATGAATACAATATCACGACATTTCGTTACAAAATTTTTATTTTTGGTCGGATAACGGAATCCGTATGGCTTCGATGGATACAAATTTCTTCAGTAAGTCTCAATACGATTCATCGGCGAAAAATCTCAACACAGCAATTCAGAAAAGTTTGTAATTTGTACAACTCCATCTATTACGTCTTTTGTGTGAGAAAACATCCTTTTTAAATCTCTTTTTGTGTTTTAAGTATAAATATATTAATTATTATGGAACGTTTTTTTTACACACAAATCTTTTTATTACTATTTCTGAGATTTTATGGCGCCATTGAACAAATTCGAACCTACATTTCAAAATAATAATCATTACTTTCGATAGAATTAACCAATTTTAATAAAACAAAGATTAAATGTAACTCGAAGATACGCTTTATGATTTTCTTAACGATTTCTTTGAAAATAAAAGATGTTTACTTTAGACGTGATGCGTTCATATAATAACAGACAAATAGACATACAGACAATTCTAAAAATTATAAAATGTTCTTATTTAATTATTTTCAGTTCCCCATAATGATTTTAGCCACCAAAATATATACCTATACAATGTACAGAAAGAGACACAATATGTTATCATCATTTTTATTATATGTATATATTTAAAGAGAGATGGCGCTGCTAACAACAATTCTAAAAATAAAAGAGATTAATTGACGCGATTGATACATTATATAAAACGCAAGAGTACTTATAAATCAGTGCCTGCACAGTAAGCAAAAAATAAAGTTTGACTCTCGCCAAAACCAACGATTTGTTAATAGCTCTTTTAAAATTTGATTTACCACATAGAGTACTCGGCGGTAAAGAATAAATTGAGTTTATCAACACGCAGTAGGGCAGCGAGTAATATAATAAAGATTAGCAGTAAATATGAAAACTCATCTACAGGAAAAAAAAACATTGCAATTGCATTACATTTTCACAACACCACCATCTATCGAAGAAATGGGAAAACTATTGTGCTTCAGATTTAGTTAATAAGGTTAATATATTTTTGTATAATATATTTAATACGTTTTTTAATACTTTTGTTTACTGCGTTTTAGATATACATAATTATATCATTATTTTACATAATTTAACTATGATTTATGATATGATATTAGTTTAAAATGCACCTGATGACTCAAACAAAGCCACCGTTGAGCAAATTCGTACCTATACTTCCCTACCCATACTTCAGAATATTTATCATAACTTTTGATGGAATGAACTGATTTTAATGAAATAAAGACTAAATGTAACCCGAAGATACACTTTATAATTTCCTTAACAATTCTTATGATATAAATTAGTACTTTATACGTGATGCGTTAACAAACAAACAGACAGATAGACAGACAGACAGAAAATTCTAAAAATGGTAGAAATGTATTTAATTACTTATTTTTAGTACCCCTCAATCACTTTTATTACAAAAATATAAAATGTACAGACATCTGCTGTTTACAGTTTTATTATATGTATAGATATTTATGTTTACAGGTCCAATAATGTATCTTTTATTAAAATTTTGAGAGTTTTTCGAGTGTTGAGGCCTTTGAGGGCTATCAACAGAGCTAAGGGCTTGAAGGTCAGTTTTATGAATTTAAATATATTTTTTTTAAATTTTAATAGATTATTTAGATTTTAAAGAAAAATTTGTAAAAGGAAATGTTTTTGTTAATTTTTAGCACGTAGTTCAGTGCGTGATTGTCGCTATTAAAACAATCGGCAACATTTTGCTGGTGACAAACCTACTACAATTCATGTTCGCTGTAATGGGGGTGCAAATGTTCAAGGTAGGGAGACGAATCAATATGTTCCATATTTTTTTTTTAATTTTGCGATCAACGACACCTTTGGGTCAATTTCAATTTTCTAAATTTTTCGGAAGTAAGTATAATTATTCACTGACAAATTATTAGCACAAATAAAAACGTCATCTGATTTCGTTTCGTGTGTGTGCGGCTTTTTTCGTTCATTTACGAAAATTAGATTTACTAACCATCTTTTTTTGCTTTTGCCCGTGGGTCCAAAATATCAAAAATAGGATACTGCATGATTTTGTGTTATTTTTTTTTTACAATGAACAGCCCAAAGGTGTTGTGTGGTGTTTCCTGATTTCCCTTTATTTGTGATTTTTTGGACTCAGAAAGAGAAAGTGCTTCAGTGTGTTTCATTTGCACAATCCACCCTACCCTACCTTGACATTTTCACTCTGTCACTAGGAATAAGGTACTTCGTTTACTATTGTGGTTTAATTCATTTTTTTTTACTTTTTACGGTCAGATCAGGACGCTGGCAATGTTTTATTCGTACTTTAACGAAATATTTCTTAGGCTAAATTCTGTTTTTGAGTTTTTAAGTTTCTAACGTTGTTTTTTTTTTCATTTTTTGCACATGTATAATCTACATGTTCTACTACGAAATTGACATAAACGGGTGGAAAACCTTGTGATCCGGTAAAGTTATTGTTGAATGTGGCATGAAATCTCATAATTTTATAATTAAACAGTACGTTGTAAAGTGTGTTATCGCATCGATTAAATCCATTGGTAACATATTCATTATTAACCATATGTTACAATTTATGTTCGCCGTATTGGGCATTCAGTTATTTAAGGTACGTCATGTTGTTTGTTTTCGTTTGTGCTAGCCGTATTGTAAACGTGTTAAAGTTGTTTTTGCATTGTACCAACTTCAGTGTTTGTGATCATATATGTACCTCTCTATGTGCTTAGCTTTTGTTGTGAAAACGAAGCGAGGTCAGGTGATACTTTTTTTTTGTTTTTCTATTGAAGAAGTCTTCTAAACTGAATTTTATTGCAGGGAAAGTTTTTCAAATGCAGTGATATCACAAAGGTGACTAAGGAAGAGTGCCGGTAAGAAATCATTTTATAATGTATTATTTTAAAAACACTTTGTTTATACATCATAAGCCTTTTATGAAAACATGCATTACATATGTATTAATCGGTAGTTAAAATCTTATAAATAATTTGGTCAAAAATAAAGATACATGAAACTAATGAAAATGTAATATAATGTAATATAAATTCATATTATAACTATTATAAAATAACATTATTGAAAATATAATATTAACGCTATCGATGATTTTAAAATTTAAATTTGAATTCAAAAATTAACAGGAAATAATTTAAAAAAAATGTATAGGTACGAAAGTATACGAAAAAGGTCATTAAAGTGATTTTATCTACGACATTCAATATTTTCAGGGGATCGTACTTAGTTTATGAAAATCAAAAGCCACAAATAAAAGACAGACTATGGCAGAAGAATAAATTCAATTTCGACGATGTGCTGAACGGCATGCTGACACTGTTCACAGTGTCGACTTTTGAAGGGTGGCCGGGGTAAGATGTCGTCTGCAATCAATTTTAGGATTTAATAGTTTTAACTTAATTAATAGTTTTGACAGTACTAGTATTTTGAAAACGGCTTATTAAAACCCATACTGATTACAGGCCAAAAGATTATTGGACTCTATAAATTTAAGCAAGCGGATGTTAATGACCCTTTCAATAATTCGTGTGTTAAAATGACACGCAAGTGTAGTGCTTGTTCTCTTCAAATTAATTTAATTAACTGTCAGATAGATGAAGGCTTAGCCATCTCGTTTACCGTTACCGTTACAGTCTATTAAAGTCCACAGCTGAGCATAGAACTCCCCTGTAGATTGCCTCATAGGGGGGATATTTGCTATCGTTGCCACGCTTGCTAAGCGGATTGGCAACAGCAGTTTTTGAGTAGTGGATTTTTTACACCGCCACTACACGGTCTGCTGTTTACGCGACACCTAAAATACCTACGCATGTGACGAGAGCAGCGTCAAAGCTGCTCACGTTTTGTATTGCGATCCACATTCCAAGCGTGACAATTAAGGCGAATCTCCCTATGACGACCGAAGCCTGTTCCAGGGAGTGCACTTTTACAGGCTCATGTTGATGATGATATATCAGCTGGTGTATACATTTGAGTGCTTATTTTGTATAGATTTGGCATAGCGCAGCGTGCTAATCTATCTCTACTCTCCCATAAATGAGAGGCATGTGCCCAGCAGTGGTACATGGTATCATATTTTTAAATAGAATAATGGTTACAAGCAAGCACAAAGTGCAATAGACGGAAATTGGATAATGTGGCCCCTAGACACATACATTAGATTAGATTACTATTGATGACTATTAATCAAATTGTAGACGCGTCGCATCTCCTAAGATTAAAGACAGAATGCCTAATTATCTCTATCTGCCTTACCCTACCTCCAAATACCCAGTTACCTGTAGTAATCTATATATTATATCGTATGGTTTACATGTTTTTAAGTAACTATTCTCAGGTATAAAAGATCTAGTTAACATGTTTAGTTAGTTGTTATTATTGATAGAAACATTTTTGTGTTTTATGCACCGTGCCAAATTTGGTGTTGGGCAATTTACTGAACTTTATCGTATCGATTTTCTTTCAGATTATTATCTACTTCTATGGATTCTAACCAAGAGGATCACGGACCTATTGAGAATTCACGACCTCTTGTAGCCTTCTTCTATATAAGTTACATCATCGTTATTGCTTTCTTTATGGTAAGTTTTATTTTATAACATTAAAATATACAAATGTGGAGTATGTTAAATGAAATTAATTTTAAGGATTTTATCGCGTTTAATTTTAACTTTTTAATTACCGATAGTCGGACGCTCTACAGCACACAGCGTGTTCAGGTCAGGATACTACTGCAAGACTTCAAGATACCGTAGCTCGTACTAAAGCTCAATATTTAAAAGTTGAAGGTAGCCTTCATTAACAATGACATTAGGGCATCAAACATATCAGTGCCCCCCCCCCCCCCCCCTCGTAACCATAGGTGCGAAAACGAAACGTCGGGAATCAAAAAGTTTAAATTAAACGCGACAAAATACGGTAATTTGGATCATCCAGTTATGGTATTTGGAGCTAAGCGGTTATGAAAATCGACGGTGAAGTTTCCTGAAGCAAATTTTTTAACTCACGAAGGTGGGCGAGCAATACCTGTAGTTGTGACGTGTATAGACACGGGCACTTGTGTGCGTCATTGCAGGTAGCGCTAGCCATCTTTATTAAACAAAATAGTGCAAGTAGTTAGATTTGTGTTTCGTTAAGTGGTGAAATAAAAATATTTTACGTGACTTATTAACATGAACCTGTGTGTGTCGTAAGAGCCGACAGAGGGAAATAAATCAGAGACGTTAGATATTTATGAATGACAATCAGTTGAAGTAATGCATTACCTACCACGCATTCTGAATTTAAAAGACAAAAAGGACATACTCTTTGAGATTTTTTAAATTAATTTTTCTTCACCATTTGCCTATATTACTTATTCTGAACCTTCTCTGCAAATTTGGCCGGTTATTGCAAAATAAGGTCGGGGAAAAAGTTTCATCGTATTTTACATAAAATTCAGGACATTTTTTTCAAAGTTTAATTATATTTAATTATAATATATATGTGCCATTTATGCCGTGTAGTAGCGGTCAAGAATATCCACTACGACGACTGGAACTGGCAACATACAACGCGCGCACCCTGAGGACTGACGAGAAGATCGTGTAGCTGGAAGAAGAGATAGACAAGTTACGCTGGCATATTATAGGATTATCCGAGGTCCGAAGAGCGGGGGAGGACACGGTAATCCTCGAATCCAGTAACTTGCTCTATCACCGGGAGGGCGACCATCTGCCCCAAGGAGGTGTAGGATTTATCGTCCACAAGTCTCTCGTTAACAACGTTGTAAAGATTGAGAGTGTGTCGACGAGGGTTGCGTACCTTATACTCAGAATCATCAAACGGTATTCGCTGAAGTTCATACAGGTTTACGCACCAACCTCGGCACATCCCGATGAAGAGGTTGAGGAAATGTATGAGGATATCTCTAGAGCCATGCATTCCTCCAAAACCCAATATACGGTGTTAATGGGAGACTTCAATGCAAAACTAGGCACAAGAGAGAACGGTGAGCTGAAAGTAGGGAAATTTGGAATAGCGCAACGGGACCTAAGGGGCCAGCAGCTGGCCACCTTCATGGAGAAAGAGGGACTCTTTATGATGAACTCTTTCTTCCAGAAGCGGCCCCACAGGAAGTGGACCTGGTCGAGCCCCGACGGTTCGACAAAAATTGAAATTGAATTCATTATGACGACCAGACGACAACTGTTCAGTGATGTCTCCGTGATCGCGAGGGTGAAAACTGGTAGCGATCACCGAATGGTTAGAGGCACACTGAACCTAAACGTTAAGTTGGAGAGGTGTCGTCTAATGAAGTCAACGCTCCGTCCCCCTCGTGCTCTGTTCCAAAGTCCCGAAACCTTTCAGCTCGAGTTATAAAACCGTTTTCAGTGCCTAGAAGACTGCATTGAAGTGGACGATATGAATGACAAGCTCGTGGAAACTGTCCATGCGGTCGGAGCTAAGTTCTGCAAGACCCGCCGCAGAAGAACACAAAAACTCTCCGATCTCAGTCTTAATCTCATGGCTATTAGACGGGAGATGAAGCTACATTCTTCAACAGATTTGACAGCATACAGGCAACTGAACAGACAGATCTCCAAATGCATGCGGCGGAACTTACACGACTTCAATACAGCTTGTATTGAAGAAGCGATCGAGCGGAACCAGTTCGAACGAACCACCGAACCAATTCGACGGAATCAAAGGCTCCAATGTCTTTGCCAGAGATTTGTCTGCCAGAAAGTGCCAACTGTCGATGCTGAAGACCGAGTGTGGCAGCATCGTTTCCGGGACACCTGACATTTTGAGTGAGATTGAGAGGTTCTATGGGCAGCTGTACACGTCATCGTTGGAGCCACACGCAAGTGTGAGTAACGATCCAAGAGCGAGTCTTATCCGACACTATTCCGAACATATCCCGGACGTCAGTCTGAGCGAGATTAGAATGGCTGTCCAGCACCTTAAAAACGGCATGTCCCCGGGCGAGGATAGAATTACAGCGGAGCTTTTGAAAGCGAATGGAAAACCGGTAATTGAAGTCCTTCAGAAGCTCTTTAATTCTGTCCACCATGGTGGCACTACTCCGGAGGCGTGGAGTAGAAGTGCGGTGGTCTTGTTTTTCAAGAAAGGCAACAACGCTCTCTTGAAGAACTACAGACCGATTTCCTTTCTGAGCCGCGTCTACGTGCTGTTTTCGAGAGTCATTACGAATCGTCTCGCACGCAGACTTTTTACGCTCAGACGCAGACGACTTTCAGCCTCCCGAACAAGCTGGTTTCTGTAAAGGCCTTAGTACCATAGACCACATACATACCTTACGGCAGATTGTACAGAAGACAGAGGAGTATAATCTGCCACTTTGGCTTGCGTATGTGGACTATGAGAAAGCCTTTGATTCCGTCGAAATTTGGGCGGTGCTGCAGTCCCTTCAGCGGTACCAAGTTGACTGTCGGGATATCGAAGTGCTGAAGTGTTTGTACAGTAGAGCTACGATGGCTATCAGAGTACGAAACCTATCCAACTGCAGAGAGGTGTAAGACAGGGTGACGTTATATCCCCGAAACTCTTCACCGCTGCATTGGAAGACGTTTTCAAGCTACTGGACTGGAAAGGATGCGGTATTAACATCAATGGCGAGTACATCACTCACCTTCGATTTGCCGACGATATAGTCCTTATGGCAGAATCGCTGGAGGACCTAATGAGGTCATTAAGCACTATGCTCAATGACCTCAATAGTGCTTCCCAACGGATAGGTCTGAATATGAACATGGACAAAACAAAGATCATGTTTAATGTCCATGTCACACTTATGCCGGTACTTGTTGGGAGCACTAAGCTCGAAGTTGTTGACGAGTATGTTTACCTGGGACAAATAGTCCGACTACTTAAGTCCAACTTCGACCGAGAGGTCAATCAACGGATTCAACTCGGCTGGGCAGCGTTCGGGAAACTACGACACGTCTTCTCGTGAGACATACCTCAAAACCTAAAAACGAAATTGCAACCAGTGCGTGTTGCCAGTAATGACTTACGGATCTGAGCGTGGTCCTTCACTGCTGGCCATATGAGGAAGCTCAAGGTCGCTCAGCGAGCTATGGAAAGGCCTATGCTCGGTGATGGTGATGAAAGACCACTCCTTTTCTCTTGGGCAATTGCAGCCGTTTTTGCTCAATTTCTTGCTTTTTCTTGCTGTTTCGAGTCGCATTTCTCCCTTTTTTGTAATAAAACTTCAGTATGTATTGAATTTCTTCGTTAGATTGACTCATTTTGGTGAACAGAAAAACAATTGAAAAACGACAGGAAAGTGTTTTTTACTTTTTAATTGTCTTTACTTAATGTCCATGTCGATATTAAAACCAGTCAGTTACAAACAGCACAACCAAAAATATTTTTCTTCAATTTTAAACAAACAAAATTCGAAGAAACTTTTCCTCGACCTATAATGCAGTTTGGATCTTGATGACTTGACATGAATTGATCTGTCTTGCAAAATTGATACATACTTGTTATCATTTGAATACCGTCAAATAAACAAACAAATAAACATACTAAATAATTTATAATAGCTATTAATGCACTCTAGTGTTAAGGCACTGGTGGTTTTGTGGTGAGAAACACATATATTTTTATATTATATTTTTATTCTATCTCTATCGTAGTACTGCTTATTAAGATAATATAACTTAAATAAAAAATTTAAAAATCCTCTGCAATAAATAGAGCTGATGATCTTCAAACGGCTAAACAAATTTTATAAAACATAGCAAGGAACCTTAAGACACCTTTCAAACGGAAAAAAAATCAAAATCGGTTCATTCATTGAGAAGCTATGATGCTACATGCTACAAACAGACACACAGACACACACTACAATCTCATAACACCGCTTTGTTTTCGTCGAGGGTTAAAAATATGTATAAACATTAATTTCCTTACCTCACTGAGAAAAGCTTTTCTCCACACTTTCCAAGCTGATGGTTTTCAATATCGATGTGGAACCGGCTCTTACTGAGCGTTCCCTAGCTTACCCACACAAAGACAAATTTGTACGTGCATTAACACACAATTAAAACCCTATGATGTTCTACCTTCGCCGCATATTAGCAGGGCTACGGGAACGCTTTCGCACACATCTGCGGTCCCACCTACATCTGTACCTTTACTCAACGTGTAAAGTGTGTAAACACAGCAAATAAAACTTATATTAACTTCATGCTTAAATGACATACCTTAAATGACTACTTACTTAAATGAAGGGTCAATAACGCAGTGACTATAAATTTGCTTGCAAGGTTGCGGGCCGCAGGTTCTTATTACATATTGTATGTCTTAAACGAAGTTGTTCCGGGCTATGTGCAATGTATGTATAATGCCTCAAAATGTAAAGTTTATTGTTTCATTAAAAAATATCATGAAATAATGGGAATAAGTCGACACAAGCAAAATAGTTTTTGATATTTTTTTGAACGCAACTTCCACACTAGGATTTTGTGGGCAGTTTAAATGCATAAAGTTCACAAGGACCATATTAATTGATGATTGTGTTTACCCATACATAACGGAATGACCATTACAAAAATTCTTTACACCAGTCAATAATATCAACAATATGAAGTCCATCTAACAAGTTTTGGCATATTCTCTATTTGGCAAACTATTTGGTTCAGTTAGCTTAAATTTAATAAAATATTTTATTGAATTTATTAAATTTTATTATTTTATTAAATAATTATATTTATTACATTTATTGAATTTTTAATTTTAACTCAAATTCGAACCTTGGATCCGCTACGCAGTAGCAGTAGTAGTAACACTAATGTAATAATGATAATAATTTTTTTTTAAGTCATAAGTCCTGGGATATGGTCATCTGATTTCTTAACATCAATAACTTTTCATTAATTTCCAGGTCAACATATTCGTTGGTTTCGTCATAGTGACGTTCCAAAAGGAGGGTGAGCAAGAATTCAAAGACTGCGAACTTGACAAGAATCAGAGGAACTGTATCGAATTTGCTTTGAAAGCAAAGCCAGTTAGGAGGTGAGTTCTGTTAACTGATTAGAAAAGTTTTAGCTTGTATAAGTCCCTCTGCTGGATCACAGGTGCCATCTTATTTCTCAGAAGTTTCGCTGGCCTGCCTGTTCGCGTTTTTTTTTTATAGAAGTGCGAGCAAACGAGCATGCGGCTCACCTGATGGAAAATGTCGACCGCCGACCACGAACAAATTGCAATACCAGGGGAATTTCAGGTGCAGTCCAGTCTTTTAACAAGAAGAAAGTTTTAAGAATTCCTCTTAATATTTTATTTCTCAGGCAGTTTTCCTCGCGATGTTTTCCTTCACCGCTGAGCACCTGTTAAATTAGAAATCAAAATTGCACCTAACAATTTCATTCTTGCTGACGGCGATTTAACTAAGTTCACGAATTATAAAATTTATACCGAGTTCGTAAATTTGAGAATCTACCACGGTTTCATAGATCAATGATGAAATCAAAGGTAATTTCTGTTTTTTTATGGAAGAGGAGGCAAACGAGCATTTTTGTTTATTATTTTATAGGATAAGGGTGACAAGCTAGCACACAGCCCACCTGATGGTGAGTGATTGCTGTGGCCCGACATCTATCTATATCTATCCTCGCATGCGAATCAAAATGCAGATGCATTGTCAGCCGCGAGGACTAAGATGGAATGCCTCTTTCCCAGTAAAAAGGGTCTCCGGTTCTCTACACTCACCATAAGAAACACAGCAGCATTAAGCCGCTATTTTATGCTGGTATTCTGTAAGCATGCGGCTTACCTGATGGTAAGTGATCACCGTCGCCCATGAACAACTGCAACACCAGGGGAATAGCAGGTGCGATTGCCGGTCTTTTAGGAAGGAGTATGCTCTTTTCTTGAAACCAATTTGTGTCGGTCCGAAAAAACCGCTGGCTTAAAATATTTGTTTTGATCAACCTATAAAAGTCTAAGATGGACTTTGATCTCTCCCATTGTAGACAGGATTTTCCTTCATCATCACACTTGATAGGCAGGTTGATTATCCCAGTACCAGACGTTTCATAGCTGGCAATATATGAGTTGGTTATACCTTCCTCTATCAGTATGTATATTATACATACATTAACACTCACGCCTGGCACCCGGAGGGTAGGCGGAGACTACCGACTTCCATTTGGCACAATCTTGACAAACTTTTCCCGCCTTCTTTACTTCCATACACCTACGCTATAAATGCACGGTTTCTTTTTATAGGACAGGGTGACAAACGAGCACACAGTCCACCTGATGGTAAGTGGTTGCTGTGGCCCATGGACATCTATGAGATGTTGATGACATACGAGTAAAACATCATCAAAAACATCGCTGTCATATATGACTTTTAATTAGAATTACACATGTGATCTATATTGAATAAAAATTATTCTATTCTATGTTGATTTCCTCGTTATTATTATTAATTTATTATTTTCGATAATTTCTAGGTACATACCGAAACACCGAATCCAATATAAAACTTGGTGGTTCGTGACGTCACCACGTTTTGAGTACGTTATATTTTTCTTCATCGTGCTCAACACTGTGGCACTTATGATGAAATTTCACACCGCTCCTCCCGAGTATAGAAAGGTATGATTTGTTGATGGAAATATTTTCTTTAAGTTCCATCCTGCATCTACCACCTTCTTCAACTGTAGTGATGATTGAGTAGAAATAAAAAATAAATAAAAACGATGTTTTAATGTGACTATACTATTAGTAGTGGTACTAGTAATTCTAGTCCCTATCTTTTTGGTGCTTCTGACCAAATTTACAAAACGGTATACCAATGCATATCGCGTCTGTCTGTCCATTTGTCATAACAGTGTTTTAATAAGATGCATTAGGTATGGTATATTTATAAAATAAGTATTTAAAACCTGTACATGGAGGAGAATGGAATCTATAAATAAAAATAGATCAATGAATTGCGACGCTGGGGACCGCGGGTTCGAATCCCCCACGGAATAAATACTTGTATGCAAATAATTCTCCCGGGTCTGAATGTTTGTCCTTGTGAAATTTATATATTATGTAAACTGCCCTCACGATACAGGAAAAGTACTAGTGCAGAGATAACGTTAAAAAATATTTTAAAAACACTTACGACGAAAAACTATTGTTGTAATAATAACACAATTTTTCATTCTGAACAACTATAATGTTATTTAAATACCAAATCATTAGGATTGAATAATTATTTGATTGTAATGAATTGTTATGAACAATTCATTACAATCTTATAATTATTATTAGACTGGGCGAAAACTCAATACTAAATGTGTAACTTACTAATAATACGAGTAACTAAAATATGAACTCGACCAAGTTTGTTTCAATGTTCTTTTTTCTTGTAGGTTTTGGACTACTTAAATATGATACTAACAACAGTTTTTATGCTTGAATTTGTCTTCAAATTGGCTGCCTTCAGATTTAAAGTAAGTAATAAATAAAATATACCTACTTACGTTTTTTAAGAAACCGAAATAAATGTATATTTGACCACGTTTATGTATATGCAATTTTAATACACTCGTAACCAATCCAGTAAACATGCAGAAAAGGACTAACATTTATAATGTTAATATGAAATTAAAGAATAAGATTCGGCATTGTGTTGAAAAGATTTATACAATAGAAAAAATTGTTGATTGCCCGCGTTACAACAGACATATATTGAGGTTCATTCTAATGGAGAACCATATCAATAGTAACTCCTTAATCCGTAACTTACTGTCGTGTACGAAAAAAATACACGGACAATTATTTTCAAAACACAATTTTTATTCAAAAACTGAATATAGTTTACTTTTAACTGTTAAGATTACTGACGTACGTAAATCTTACTTAAAATTACTTTTTTTTCGGGACCAAAGCAGTGACATTGGAATATCTTAAATAATGAAATTGTTTATTTTTGAAATTCAACTGCTAAATTTACTTACGTACGTTGATTCTACATACATACATGGAAATTCTTTCGGGATTATTCTGTAATTATTTCAAAATCAAAATTGTTAAGAAACTTTGAGCATCAAATCATTTGAGAGTTGGCGATAAACGCTAAATCTTTCCAAAAAAAAAATACGTGAGAAACCCTATAAAAATAACAATGTTCCATTCCAGAATTATTTTGGCGACGCCTGGAACACCACTGACTTCATTCTAGTCATAGGCAGTATAATTGATATTGTGGTGACACAAGCTAATGAAAATAATCCGAAATTGCCGGGTTCTAGTGTAAGTTTTTAATGATATGTTTATTTCATCTCTTGTCTTTTGTCTTTTCTACTTTATAAACCTTTCTTGAAGGTTTTAAATCTATTGAACTAGCTCGAGCATTATATTCTCTATTCGCATCTAGCAAGGGTTATTACCTTTTGAGCTGTATACTTCATCCTTCAAAATGAATACCGGTAGATCAATACGTAAATTATTCTTTATTATAAGACCTTACTACTAATATAAAATTAGCGAAATTGATAGTATAAAAAATTCTCAAAACCAACTTCGGAAAGGTACATAATATATACAACGTGTAACAAAAACCCTGTGGTTCCATTTAAGTGCGTTATCAGAGTCGGTATTCAAACGTAAAGAAATTACTTTATTTTCTTTCAAAAAACTTGAACATTAATAAAATTAAATTTAAATAAAAAAATAATTTGCAAATTGTATGTGGTTTTATTACCACTAACTGAGCATCGATAAAGGGGGGTTCTTTGACAATCGTCTTATTCCCTGGATAATGCAGAGGTAATAAAACCACATACAATTCGAAAGTAATTTTTTTAATTAATATTAAATTTTTTAATGTTCAAGTTTTTTGAAAAAAGTTATTCCCTTACATTTGAATACTGACTCTAATAACGTATTTAACGGGAACCACAGGGCTTTTGTTACACGTTGTATTATAAATTTAAATCGTCAATTGGAGTTACGTTTACGGAACAAAAAGACTATCTAGCTCCAGGTGAGACAGAAGTCAAACACTGGCTTATAGTAGTTAGAAAATTATAAGAAAATATTTTTTTAAATGTCGGCATTATACAAAGATAGGCCATTTTGATAGGCCATTATAACGGCTATTGTAGGATGACAATTGATAATTCTATAGATGACGATAACCTCAATTATTATCACGAAAGCGAATGGAGCCAATATTAAAGCCAGAACAACTTTAATATCCTCTATTCATTTTGTTTCATTAAAAATGCAATAAACAATAAGAGAGTAAGAATGATATCCATTTGTAATTAGGATTAAGGATAGACAAATGTAGATTATATAAGCATCTCTGCTAGATTTATTAATTTTTTACAAAATTATTCATAATCACACGTTTTCAGATTTCATCAGATGAAAGAATTGAGGAGGTATGAAGTTTTAAAATACGATTTTCCCCATTTGATTTTTGGTGTCCTATATTTAAGTGAGCAAATCCTGTATATATACAATTTTAGATGAAATTTTGTATTTAGATGATGTTTTACTTTCCAAGATTATCTAAATATGTGTTATCTACACATTAGAAAAAACTACTAACGCCATATAAAGTTCGGCCGTCCAGGTACTTAAAAATAATAGAAGAGAAAACTGACAAACATACATATAATGTAGTCAAAAGACTAATATTGATAGGTCAATATTTAAAAAAAAGTTATTATAATCAGAAATAAATATCTCAGCAAAAAAACCAATTAGTTTGTTAAATTCCTCTTCTTTTGTTCATACTTCTTATTTATTTTATTTCATGTTGATTTATTTTTTTTATTTCTGATTATTTGTAGTACTTGAATCTTACGCTTTTTGTATTGAAATTATTACTGGCTGTCCATCGTTTAGATTAGCGAATACGAATAATAAACTTTTGGCTATAGACAATTTTCACTGTGTGTAGTTACTTTAAGTTTCACACAAATATAAATTACATATGTATTGACAGTTTAGATATGGTATTAGAGTTGATATTTTGTGTTTATTTCTAAATCAGGAATAGCATAACTTGCTATTGAATATGTATTGATACTTTTACAAACAGGTGAACTTAGTACCCAGTCTATTCCTATGTTTGTTGTAGTCATATATGACTGTACATAAATGTCAAGAGTTCGGTGAATCGTGAATTTTGCACCTATAACGATTCCCTTAGATAACCATAGCATTCCTAATATTTCTGTTAAACGGTTTAAATCCATTATAAGTTCGCAACATCAAACCTACCATAACAACGAAATTAGCATCCTGAGAAAGTTTTTTAAACTGGGTTTGTTTTCACCGAATAGTTTAGCTTTGTTCATACTATACGATTCTATATTACTATATATATTAATTCCATGCATATTTAATTCTAGCCTTAGATACCAATAGCAGAGTTTTAATTATATTGGACCCGAACTCATCATGAAACTCTTGATGTGCATATATATAAAATATATCAACTGCTTGCCCTTTTCGTGAAAGTCTGTAAATTTTACATATATATATCAAACTAGCTGGCCCGGAAACATTCTTCTGCTCTTTCTATCTAGATCTTTAACACCATCTAGCTCCAGGTGGGATAGTCAAACACTGGCTTATAATGGTTAGAAAAAGTATAAAAGGAAATTTTTTTTAAAAAATATCGTCATTATATACAAAGATCTTGATAGGCCATTATAACGGCTATTGTAGGATGACAATTGAAATACCTTTAGATGAAATTGATGGATGGAGCCAATATTAAAGCCGGAACAACTATAATATTCATTTTGTTTCATTGAAAATGTAACAAACAGTAAGAGAGTAATAATGGATATGGATTAATGACAGATAAATGTAGATTATATAAAAATCTCTGCTAGATTTATTACTTTTTTTTACAAAATTATTCATAATCGGGTCCTATTCACATTTTCAGATTTCATCAGCTAAAGGAATTGATGAGGTATGGAGCTTTAAAATATGATTTTCGCATTTAATTTTTGATATCCTATATTTAAGTAAATCCTGTATATATGCAACTGGTTTATCAGAAACGGCTCTAACAATTTGGATGAAATTTTGTATTTAGGTGATGTTTTACTTTTCAAGTTTATCTAAATATGTGTTATCCATCCATTAGAAAAAACTACTAACGTCATGCAAAGTTCGGTCGTACTTAAAAATAATAGAAGAGAAAACTGACAAACATATATACAATGTAGTCAAAAGACTAACAGTGATAGGTCAACGTTTTAAAAATAAATTATTATGAAAAATAAATATCTCGGCAAAAAACAAACTACTTTATTAATTTCCTCTTCTTTTATTCATACTTCTTCTTCTGTTATTTTTTCATTCATGTATATTTTGTTTTTCAAATTAAATTTGAGTGCAATTAAATAGCTAAGGTTATCGATTTTATTTTTATTTTTAGGGTAGTACCCAGACAATAGGTTTAAAGTACATCACATTCTTCCGTTTGTTCCGTGCCATGCGTTTGATTAAGCTGCTTTCACGTGGTGAACGCATCAGAACTCTGCTTTGGACCTTCATTAAGTCCTTCCAGGCTCTTCCATACGTCGCATTACTGATTGTTCTGTTGTTCTTCATCTACGCTGTTGTTGGAATGCAGGTATTGTTTCTTATTTATACAAATACAAATATTGAAGTGTATGTTTGTAATGTCCAGAAAACAGCTTTATTCTAAATACATATGCAAAGATACGGTACTTGTAACAAAAACACAACTTTTAAAATTTTTGTCTGTCTGTCAGTTTGTTTGTTCCGGCTAATTTCCGAAATAGCTGGACCGATTTTGATGGGACTTTCACTGGCAGATAGCTGATGCTATAAGGAGTAATTTAGGCGATTTTTTTTCAGAAAAAGAATAAGGGTACCGCGTAAAAAAAATTAAAACCCTTTATTAAACGCAGGCGAAGTCGCTAGGAACAGCTAGTTTTTTTTTGATAAATATTCACTTATTCTTCTTCTTCTGCATTAGTTGTAAGGATTGTTCTTAATCATCCCGCTTACTACTGCCAGTCGCCAATTTCTGGTCTGGGTATTTTACCTCTGGTGTAAACGAGATGATCATACCGCCATCTACTGAATGCTATTAGATTTTTCTGGTATTTCCATCGATCACTAATAGAAAACTAGATACACAATCAGTGACAAAAAATGTCCTTACCGAATGAGCGCCCACTCGAATATTTGGGTGCGCTTTTAATTTGTACGAAGCTTTGTGAACACAACTTTAGGCAATGCATTTAAGGTTGAATTTACATTTGTGATATAGGAAATGTGTGTCAATGAAATAGAGACGTGTTGATGCTTCTATAACTTTAATTATAATGTCCTTATTCTACCTTAACACTAGTATATATAGTCGCGGGGGCTATACTACACTACACATTAATGTGTATTTATTTCAACTTCAAAGACTTTTTCTGCCACCAGGACGGTGTCACTTAAAAGTTTGACATATTTCATTACGGGGAAGTTAATAAGTTCGAAAAAGTAAAGGTTAATTTTTATTTCTGTATTATTAGCTACATTTTATAATAATTAGATTTAAAATTAAAAAACGAAGTCACAGATATTCATAACAGTAGAAGAATTTTAAAAATCTTAAAAATATGCAAGAAATTAAAGAGCTAACCACCGAGGAATTGTTTTGTGTATTAATATAATACTCTAGAAACTGATAAACTTTTATTAAAAACTAACTACTCAATTAAACGACATTGTGTAACAAAAAACTTTACCTCAGTATAAACTAGCGACATCTGGTGAGCAGAAAATTATTAGCCCTCATTGGCGACAGTTTTTAAAGAACTTTTGCATGGGATTGTGTATCTAGTTTTTTTATTAGTGATCGATGGGTATTTCCCATAGTTGCCTGTATACCACCCACGGGACGAAATAGGGTGATCGAATCTATTACGACGGTTGTTGGTCTAGTGGTCTTATGCGCTTCTGCTGAACGTGTGGTCCGTTCGAAACTCGGGTCGGTCCAAAATCAGTTAGGAAGTTGGATGTGTTTCACCCCCGTGCCTCGGAATGTACGTAACGAAAGTGATCTCTCTCCGGTTATGTTTGAATTTCGCCCCCATCGGACTACGAGAGTGTGAGAATATAGCGACACTTATGCTTGCGCGCGCATAGGTGCGCTATAATCCTGTCATGCGTAGATCTCTCAGTTGATACTGGCTGCTGTGACTAAAATTCGGTCTAAAGGACATTATCGTTAGTTTTTTTTTTGTATATGGCTATAAATATTGTATTTTTAAACGTTATTTACCGTTACCGTTACAGCCTATTCGAGTACACTGCTGAACATAGGCCTCCTCCATAGATTGCCTCATAGGGGGGCTATTTACTATAGCTGCCACGCCTGCGAAGTGGGTTGGTAACCTGAGTTTGTTTTTGTTTTAGTTGTTAGTTGGAAGATGCTGCTGCCCATCTCTTGGTTTGTGATTCGCTGTTGCCTCTTACGACACCCACGGGATGATATGGGGTAGTGGTTGTTCTTACACGTTATTTAGTTTGACCAATTAATTTCTTTGAAGCGAATGGCAGTCTTAATTTTTTATGTGTGTACTCTTTATTTCTGACACAATCGCATTGCGATGAGACTTTCTTTCATTTACATTTCTTTTGTAGGGTAAGGTATGTCCCTCCGCATAATCATTGTTGGACTGTATACAATTTTTTTTTTTGTGATTTTATATTATCTTTTTTGTGATGTCAAAAAGTTTTTTTGATTTTCTTCTATGCATTTTCCTTTTATTAATATTATATAGCCTTAAAAATATATCAATCTTATTAATTTATTGAAACTCATTTCAGTTATTCGGAAAAGTCGAGTATTCGGAAATAATTACCAGGAATAATAACTTCCGGACATTTGGAGGCGCTCTAATGCTCTTGTTCAGATCAGCTACAGGTAAAACGTTTTTAGTAATTTAAGTAATTCAATCGATAGATAGATCTATTAGATTATTAGACTTCGATCATGTTTTTTTTTATTGTAAACATTATTAAGTACTGAGATTCAAAGTTATATTGTACTAAGGTACGTGAGGGTAATGTAGTCACCTTAAGCTTTGCCGCCTTATAAAACCAAAACTAGGAGGAGGACAGAGACAAATACACAATGTCGTATACTATAACTAATATAGAAAAAAATAACAAACAAACCTTCGCAATAATTAGTAACACTTCGAATAATCAACTTAAAAAAAACTAACTATGGTACGTGAGGGTAATATGATCATCCGGTTAATATGGTCACTTTCTTATACTTAACTCAAAAACTACAGCGTCGTTTGCATATACCGCTCTGTGATACGATAGTTCTTGATCAGTATATCAAATAATAAAGGGTCAAAAAGGCGCTCCTTTATCGACTCTATTTTGACAGTTGATATTATTGTAAATATTTTAGTCGATTTTTGTATTGTGTAGTGAAGTTAGTTTTTTAACTAGATTTTTTAATTATTTCCAAAGCTTGTTTGCTATTTTTCTTCTTAATATATTAGTTATAGTATACGACTTCGTGTTTTTGTCTCTGTTCTCCTCCTAATTTTGGTTTTATAGTGCGATAAAGCTTAAGGTGACATTACCCTCACGTACTTACTACAATATCAACTGTCAAAAATAAGGCGTCGATAAAGCGGCGGCCTTTTGACCCTTTATTATTTGAATGACTGATGAAGAGCTATCGTATTACAAAGCCATCTATGCAAATTAGGCTGTAGTTTTTGCGTTATAAAAAAGTGACCATATTAACCGGATGGCGATATTACCCTCACGTAATCTACATGGTTTTTTTTTATTTTAATATGATTTTAAGTTAACGCTAAGTTATTTCGGATTGTTTGTAGTATTTTAATCATAGGCTTTTTGTATTGAAATTATAACTGGTTCTCCATCCCTTAAATTAGCAAATATGAAAAAAAAACTTATGGCTGTAGACGATTTTTATACAAATATAAATTTTGTATTCACAGTTTATATTTGTCGTTTAGAGTTGATATTTTGTGTTTATTTCAGATATAATGTCGTCATATAGCTACTGAATATGTATCGATATTTTTACAAACAGGTGAACTTATTAGTAGTCTGTACATAAGTGTCAAGAGCTCGGCGAGTTGTGAATTTTGCACCTATAACGCTTCCCTTAGATAACTATAGCATTCTTAATATTTCTGTTAAACGGTTTAAATCCATTACAAGTTTCCAACATCAAAACCTATCATTACCAAGAAATTAGCATCCCGAGAAAGTTTTTCAAATTGGGTTTATTCTTACCGTATAGTTTAGCTTTGCGCATATTATACGATTCTATATTATTATATATTAATTCCATGCATATTTAATTCTACCTTTAGATACCAATAGCAGAGTTTTAGTTATATTGGACCCGAACTCATCATCATCATGTCTTGATGAGCATATATACGAAATATTTCAACCGCTTGCTCTTTACGTGAAGAACTGTAAATTTTTATTGCTGGTAGTGAACGTTTCATCCAACCCACATGAAAACTGTCGGGGGTGATTGACAGTTAAAAGAAAACTTTTTTTGATATTTATTGCGTCACATATTAGGATTAAGGGATTTTGAACATTTAAGAAAAGAGGCTTGTGTTACCGTGTAACGGCGGTGTAATAATCCACTTATAACTACTATTATTATCCAGAGAGTTTTATAAGAGGTGACAGAGGGAAACAAATCAGGAGATATAGAATATCAACTTAAAATAAAAAACGGTTGCCAACCCGCTTCCCAAGCGTGGTAACTATGACAGATATCCAGCGGCTGAAGCGGCAGAAGCTGGACGGCGGTTTTCTGCCACCTGTCAAAGTGCTGCCAACTGAGTTTTCTAAAAAGTTAAATGAAATATTCCAGAAGTTGAATGATAAAGGCTTAGTAGAACCATTCAGCAAGAAATCGCAGCAAAAGTACTTGGCACTATACCGTGAGGTGGAGGAGTATGTTTTTTTTTAAATATGATGAAATGTATTTGGGAGGTCTATTTTAAGTAGTAGTTTTTTTACGGATTTTATCGCGTTTAATTTACTTATTTTATATTCCCGACGTTTCGGTTGCTTTCCAGCAACCGTGGTCACGGGGGACTGAGGTGATTGACGTCCCGATGTCAAAGTTAACCCGGAGTACCTTCAGCTTTTTAATTATTAATTTTGGTCCGATCTACGCAGAATGAACTAACTGTGTCTTGAAGTCTTACAGTGGTATGCTTGGGTTTAGTTTTAATTTTATGAATTACAGGATCCCAAGCAGGTGGTAGTACCCAGCCTCCCTCTCTATTGAAATTAGGATGTTTTTTAATTTCAATAGCCTCACGTATCATCCTTGGCAGGAATCGATGTTCTTTCGCGAGGACTTGTGGTTTATCAAATCTAATGTAATGACGGGGGCCGTCTAGGATATGATCACAAACTGCAGACTTCCCGGAACGTTGGTGCTTCACGTCAGCTATGTGTTCTTTTACGCGGGTTTTTATTGATCGTTTTGTTTGCCCTATATATGAGAGACCACACTCACAATCAAGCTTGTATACTCCTGCATCTTGTAGAGGAATATTGCACTTGACGGATGGTAAGAACTGACTAATCTTCTTCGGCGGCTTGAAGAATGTTTTCTAATAGAAGCTCGCTTCAAGATGTAGCCAATCTTGTCTGTGACACCTCTGACATATGGTAGTACAGCAGGCACACGCTCGACTGTGGCCGGCTTCACTCGGTCACTGTGACGTAGGCGCGGAACCCGAAGCTTGTTGTCGTGCAGAACCTGCTTGACGTGCTGAAGCTCGGCGGCCAGGTGTTTGCTGTCACAGATCCCTCGTGCTCTCTGCAACAAAGATTTGCCCACGGTAGCTAACTGTGAAGGGTGATGGTGGGATTCACCGTTTAAGTATCGGTTTGTATGGGTCTTTTTTCTGTACACAGTGTGACCTACGGTGTTATTAGGATTTCGAATGACTAACACATCTAGGAAAGCTAAAGAATTATTTGCCTCTAACTCCATAGTAAATTGAATTTTAGAGTTTATGGAATTAAGATGTTCTAAAAATGCAGTTACTTTGTCTGATGGTAAAATTGTGAAAGTATCGTCTACGTACCGCTTGTAGAAACTTGGAGTTACTGGTGCAGTAAGCAGGGCTTTCTCCTCAAAGTCCTCCATGAAAATATCGGCGACAATGGGAGATACCGGTGAGCCCATCGCAACACCATCTACTTGCTTGTAAAACTGTTCCTTCCACAATAGGTAGCCAGATGTAAGGCAATGTCTGAGTAATACTGCATATTCTGCTGGCATGTTGTTTTCCTCTAGTTTCCTAGTTATAATTGAGATGCAGTCTTCAACAGGTAGGCATGTAAATAGAGACTGAACATCAAAACTGACCATAGTTTCATTGTCAGTAAGACATAGGTCTTTTATCTCACTGACAAAATGGAATGAATCCTTAGTGTGTGCTCTTGTATGTCCTCTGAGTGGTGATAGTACTTTTGCTAAGTGTTGAGCCAATCTGTAAGTTGGCGAATCGATCTGACTCACTATTGGACGTAATGGAGCGTTCGGTTTGTGTATTTTTTTTGGTAACCCATACAACTTCGGCGGTTTGGCATACGTAGGTATTATCGAATTTACGTCTAGATTCAGTTTCTCGGAGTATTTCTTTATTAGATCGCTAGTTGTTTTAAGCGTATTAGTTGTAGGATCTGTTTTGACCTTTACGTACGTACTTTCATCCGATAAAAGTTGAAACTTTTATCGGATGAAAGTACGTACGTAAAGGTCAAAACAGATCCTACAACTAATACGCTTAAAACAACAACCGATAAAAGTTGTTGTATTTTAAAATACAACAACTTTTATCGGATGAAAGTACGTACGTAAAGGTCAAAACAGATCCTACAACTAATACGCTTAAAACAACTAGCGATCTAATAAAGAAATACTCCGAGAAACTGAATCTAGACGTAAATTCGATAATACCTACGTATGCCAAACCGCCGAAGTTGTATGGGTTACCAAAAAAAATACACAAACCGAACGCTCCATTACGTCCAATAGTGAGTCAGATCGATTCGCCAACTTACAGATTGGCTCAACACTTAGCAAAAGTACTATCACCACTCAGAGGACATACAAGAGCACACACTAAGGATTCATTCCATTTTGTCAGTGAGATAAAAGACCTATGTCTTACTGACAATGAAACTATGGTCAGTTTTGATGTTCAGTCTCTATTTACATGCCTACCTGTTGAAGACTGCATCTCAATTATAACTAGGAAACTAGAGGAAAACAACATGCCAGCAGAATATGCAGTATTACTCAGACATTGCCTTACATCTGGCTACCTATTGTGGAAGGAACAGTTTTACAAGCAAGTAGATGGTGTTGCGATGGGCTCACCGGTATCTCCCATTGTCGCCGATATTTTCATGGAGGACTTTGAGGAGAAAGCCCTGCTTACTGCACCAGTAACTCCAAGTTTCTACAAGCGGTACGTAGACGATACTTTCACAATTTTACCATCAGACAAAGTAACTGCATTTTTAGAACATCTTAATTCCATAAACTCTAAAATTCAATTTACTATGGAGTTAGAGGCAAATAATTCTTTAGCTTTCCTAGATGTGTTAGTCATTCGAAATCCTAATAACACCGTAGGTCACACTGTGTACAGAAAAAAGACCCATACAAACCGATACTTAAACGGTGAATCCCACCATCACCCTTCACAGTTAGCTACCGTGGGCAAATCTTTGTTGCAGAGAGCACGAGGGATCTGTGACAGCAAACACCTGGCCGCCGAGCTTCAGTACGTCAAGCAGGTTCTGCACGACAACAAGCTTCGGGTTCCGCGCCTACGTCACAGTGACCGAGTGAAGCCGGCCACAGTCGAGCGTGTGCCTGCTGTACTACCATATGTCAGAGGTGTCACAGACAAGATTGGCTACATCTTGAAGCGAGCTTCTATTAGAAAACATTCTTCAAGCCGCCGAAGAAGATTAGTCAGTTCTTACCATCCGTCAAGTGCAATATTCCTCTACAAGATGCAGGAGTATACAAGCTTGATTGTGAGTGTGGTCTCTCATATATAGGGCAAACAAAACGATCAATAAAAACCCGCGTAAAAGAACACATAGCTGACGTGAAGCACCAACGTTCCGGGAAGTCTGCAGTTTGTGATCATATCCTAGACGGCCCCCGTCATTACATTAGATTTGATAAACCACAAGTCCTCGCGAAAGAACATCGATTCCTGCCAAGGATGATACGTGAGGCTATTGAAATTAAAAAACATCCTAATTTCAATAGAGAGGGAGGCTGGGTACTACCACCTGCTTGGGATCCTGTAATTCATAAAATTAAAACTAAACCCAAGCATACCACTGTAAGACTTCAAGACACAGTTAGTTCATTCTGCGTAGATCGGACCAAAATTAATAATTAAAAAGCTGAAGGTACTCCGGGTTAACTTTGACATCGGGACGTCAATCACCTCAGTCCCCCGTGACCACGGTTGCTGGAAAGCAACCGAAACGTCGGGAATATAAAATAAGTAAATTAAACGCGATAAAATCCGTAAAAAAAATAGTTTTATTCAATGTGTAGTGTTCGCGTAAATATAAGAAATCATTAGTAGTTTTTACGTGGTAGAGCCTTTCTTCAGCTTTATAATTATGGTTGTAGCACGAATGGGTCGCCTCGATCGTGGTAGGACCACGCTTTCACAGAATACCACACACAAACTCTCTTCGGAGCTGGACGGCGGGTTTCTGCCATCTGTCAAAGTGCTGCCAACTGAGTTTTCTAAAAAGTTAAATGAAATATTCCAGAAGTTGAATGATAAAGGCTTAGTAGAACCATTCAGCAAGAAATCGCAGCAAAAGTACTTGGCACTATACCGTGAGGTGGAGGAGTATGTTTTTTTTAAATAACTGAAGTGACTATTGAACTTACATTCTACCTGATGGTAAGTGGCTACTGCAGTCCATGGACACCTGCAACCGACTTCAAATAAGACTACAGATATACATCTGACGACTCAGATGGAATGCTTCACAGCTTGTAATTATACTGTTCCCTCTATAAAGTTTAGACCGAAATACAGTAGTGAACGCACTGATGTTTGGCTTTAGAAATAGATAAGAGTGTGGTAGGTACCCAGGCGGACTCTTAGGCAGGAAAGAAGTCCAACTAATTTAGGACGATGAATATATGAGTCTAGTCTATGGCCCGTATTAATAAACGTTACTCAGCACAACCAGTTCGTGTTGCCAGTGATGACTTACGGATCTGAGACGTGGTCCTTCATTGATGGCCGTATGAGGAAGCTCGAGGTCGCTCAGCGAGCTATGGAGAGCGCTATGTTCGGAGTTTCTCTGCGTGATAAACTTAGAAATGACGATATCCGCAGTAGAACCAGAGTAACCGACCGGGCCGGCCATATAGCTCGAAGAACCGACAACCGATGGGGAAGAAAGGTTCTCGAGTAGCAGCCTCGTATCGGTAGGCGTAGTGTAGGGCGACCCCCCCCCCCACTAGATGGAGTGACGACCTGGTAAGACATGCAGAGGAAGGCGATGGATGTAGGTGGCCCAGGACCGTGCTTTGTGGCATTCCTTGGGGGAGGCCTATGTTCAGCATTGGACTTATGAAAGGCTGTAATGATGATGATGATGATGACTCAGCGCAAGTACACGCAATTCACTACAATCTTGAGGTTACGATATCAGCTGAGTGCCACACTGATAATAAACGAAACTCGACTCTCAAGTATGTGTACTTGAGTGCAAGTCACAGAACAGTATTCCTAAGTACAGCGTTTTGAGATAGTGTTTTTATGTGTATATTAATTAGCAACGATCATGAGATGCTGATATCGTAATGAGGGCGTATCAAATGATCACGCACTTGAGTTCGTCGTTGAGTAACGTTTATTAATATGGGCCTATGACAGTTGTATGACAATTTTAGTTTTTAGTATATTTGTTGCCTTTCATTTTGTTATATAACACTGATTTTTATTAATAAATATCTTGCGATATTTCTTGATATCTTTCGAAATTGAAATAAGCACTACTAGGAAGTAATCATTGCAGGAACCATTTTAAAAATTAATAAATACGTAATATATGTAACCGTAAATTATAGTATGAGTCTATGATACACTATGATGTTGGTTGAAATCAATGTTTGTGCAAGAAATGTTGTTCGTTTCGGGTCTGGTTGTGTTGAGGGATCACGTTCTCCCGCAGTTGTAGGATCCTATTCAACTTTGAATTCTATCGTATGAGCTTTCCTTAGGCTACGGGTAGGTTGTGGGATAAACAGTGAGACAATGTATGATATAATGGTAGGGGCAGGCTACAGCTATATCGATAGTATATTTGTAGCACGAATGGGTCTGCTCGACCGGATAAAGACCACGCTCTCACAGAATACCAGCGTAAAATAGCAGTTTAACGCTGCTGTGTTTCGTTTGGTGAGTGTAGAGAACCGGAGACCCTTTTTACGGGTGACAACGAATCTGCATTTTATTCACAAACGAAGATAGATGTAGATGTCAATGGGCCACTTACCATCAGTGGACTGTGTGCTCGTTTGTCATCCTATATTAATATTATATAAAGATCCATTTATTATTATATTTTTTATAAGATACTCAGATGTGTTGTCACATATGAGGACTAAGATGGAATGCCTCTTTTCCAGTTAAAATGGTCTCCGGTTCTCCACGCTCACCATACGAAATACAGCAGTGTCAAGCTGCCATTTTACGCTGGTATTCTATGAGAGCGTGGTACTTCCCCGGTCGAGTCGACCCATTCGTGCTACAACTATGCTACTAATATAGCTGCAGCATGGCTCTACCACGTATATAAGATTATGCTTAGTGGAGAGCTTGCACACTACTCGTAGGTTATTCCCATGTTTGAAATTGGTGGGAAAAAAGTCATTGATCCTTACAACAAATGTTTATCTATGTATCAGGTGAAGCATGGCAAGACATAATGATGGCTCTATCGCCAAACGGAGCTGAGATACCCGACGAGCCGGTTCGATGCATTCCCACCAATTCCACTACAGAAGGTTCAGAAGAGATTTGCGGCTCAACGCTTGCATTCCCTTATTTTATATCATTTTCCCTCCTTTGTACCTTTTTGGTAAGTATTTCACTTCTTGTTATGTTTTACTTCTTATTCAAAAACGTTATATTAAAAATAGGCTTACAATATCCTAAAGAAATCTGCACGTCTGAAAAATATAAAATGTTTCGTAGATATAAGAAGTTGGCCAACATGCATTGGGACAGTTCGATGGACTTTTCATTGTCCGAAAACTCTTTCAAAAATGAGAGCAAGCCTGTGTCCAGAAGTGAGATCTATAGTTTGTAACTGTTTTTACAAATAATCGTGACAAATGAGCACATAATCCAACTGATGTTAAGTGACTGTTGTGCCTCATTAGATGTATATTGAGAATTAAATTAAAAAAGAAACAAATAAAGTCAAAGCACAACTATAAAAACCTGTTTAATGTGGAATTCTTCAAATAGTATTGCCACTAAGGATGTGCTAAGTTGTGGCATCTGCGCCCTGATTTTCAAATTAAAATTTATTTATTTTCAGACAACAAAGATCCATGATTTAGTATTACATTTACGCTTAAAAACTAAGTGTTGGTATTTAAAAAAAAATTAATTATATTTTATTATAATATAATTAAATTAAATCAAACTAAATCAAATTAGAGTAAATTAAATTCTAATTTGTCATGTACCTAAAATGCACTCCGTTCGGTCGACACGTAGAATAATTACCATCCACTGTATGAGTCAACATCGTTCGCACGAAATGTCTCACAATAGGCACATGCGGATCATCACTGTTCTCACGATGCTGTTGTCATTTTCAGTTGCAACCTTCTGATAAATACGACAATGTATGATTGGTGTTGATTAATATTATACACTATTTGACTTTTGGTATAGGTTTCTGGTTATTTAAATGTGTGCACTAGAACTGTTGGAAATACGCTATGTTGCTTCATTATGAGACTTGTAAACTTTTAGACGTCGGATCTTCTTTGCAATTAAAAATTAATAAACATATAGCGTAGAAGCTATGTGATTTAAAGTTTAAGGCAGCGATTGATTTTTTTTATAGAATAAGGATGAGAAACGAGCTCACATTCCACCTGATGGTAAGAGGATGCTGAGACCCATAGATATCTACATTTACCTTTGCTTAAGATTCAAAATAGAGCCGTGGTAGCTCATATGGTTAGCGCTCGCGGTAAATTTTATAGTAGGCGAGCAACCCGGGTTCGATCCCCGGCGGCACCAGGGAAATTGTTAACTGCAATTTTAAGTGCTGATTTACCGGTGAAGGAAAACATCGTGAGGAAATCTGCATGTCTGAGAAATAAGAAAAAAACGTATTCCGAAGACACGTGAAGTTCGCCAACACGCATTGGGGCAGCACAGCAGACATTTCCTTGCCCTAAAACCCTCTCAGAAATGAGAGAAGGCCTGTGCCCAGCAGTGGGACGTATATAGGCTGTAACAAAGATTCAAAATACATATGTTTTGTCACTCCTGAGGACTAAGATGGAATGCATCGTGTCCAGTAAAAAGAGTCTCCGGTTCTCTATAATCATCATAACACAGCAGCATTAAGCTGCTAATTTACAGGGTATTCCGTGAGAGGGTGTTCTTACCACGAACGAGATGCTCTATTCGTTCTACAATCATAATATAGCTGCAGCATGAGTAAAGAAATAGTACCGTACAGAGGCAAAGCTTCATAAAACCGCGCTGTGATAGGTACACTACTACAAGGTTGAAGCGCATGTGTGCGTGAGCACTGGCGGCTCGTCACGTACAGAGAGAAACTGCTTATAACCGGCACGGACAGTGCTCAAACTGAGGGTTGTGTAAAAAATAAGTGTGAAATATTTTTTTAAAGAATAATTCGTATCAAATGAAATATAAAAAGGTGTAAATATGGTTTACGTAGATTTAAATCTTATCGAGGTTGCCGCAAGAGATGCCGCTGATTTTGTTATTAAAATTAATAATTTGTTTGATTTCTTACACTTAAGTACACTGCGATCTCCTAATAAATATAAAAGAACTTTTCGATGCGATAGTTATCTAAATTGAGCTTTTAGAAGAAATGCTAACATTTTTCTGTAACTTAAAATCAATAAGAAGTGATAGGCAGAAAGACGTTACAAATAGCATGAATTTCATTTACGAATTTCAAGTGTCTATAAAATCTTTAATAAAACTTCATGGAGAATTAAAATCAGAAGTAATTAAATTCATTTATATGTACGAGACAATCAATCAGATCGTCTCGAAAATTTCTTTGGAAAAGTCGGACAGGTTATCTTAACTTTGTCTCGAACACCACAGGTGTGAGAAAATAAAATTGTACGTTAATAGATCACAACAACCTATAAATATGAGAAAAGATTATTTTTACAGCCATTACAAAGATTTTAATAAAGATTGAATGAAAAAAGTACTGTACAGAGAAATGAGAATAGAAATGAGTCCAAATATTAATGGAATTTTTTACTGTGCCTCTATACAGTTTCTTTACTCATGTGGCTCTACTACCACTTTAACTAACTTCTACAACTTCTTAACAATTCGAGTATAAATTTGTAATTATTCTATTATATTTACTTTAATGACTTAAGGTTCAAACCTTCTTCTAAGCTTGTCGCTATTTATTTTCAGATTATAAACTTGTTTGTCGCTGTCATCATGGACAACTTCGATTATTTGACAAGAGATTGGTCTATCCTTGGACCCCATCATCTGGATGAATTTGTTCGGTAAGTTGTCATTGCCATTAACATTAAAGCCTGTCAAAAGTCCACTGCTGAACATATTCCTACCCATGGATTGCCTCATATTATCCCCTATATTTGCCATATTTGCCATAGTTGGCAGGTGGGTTTTTGACCGCAGTTTTTTTTTATTTTGTTGTTATTGGGTAGACGCTGCTGCCCATCTCCAGATTTGTTTCACTTTGTCACCTTTTTTATAGGATAGGGTGACAAACGAGCACACAGTCCACTTGATGGTAAGTGGTTGCTGTGACCCATAGACATCCACATCTATCCTCAATAAACAATCAAAATGCAGATGCGTTGTCACCCGTGAGGACTAAGAAGGAATCATCTTCTCCAGTAAAAAGGGTCAGGCTCTTCGGTTCTCTACACTCACCATACGAAACACAGCAGTGTTAAGCTGCTATTACGCTAGTATTCTGTGAGAGCGTGGTTCTTGCCCGGTCGAGCCGACCCATTCGTACTACAACTATACAATTAATATAGGTAGAGCCATGCTGTACCGCGTGAAAATAGTGGATTTCTGAATATACTTTATTTCATTTATGTAAATTAAATTATAGGCTTTGGAGTGAGTACGACCCGGACGCAAAAGGGAGAATAAAGCACCTGGACGTTGTAACTTTATTGAGAAAAATTAGTCCGCCGTTAGGTGAGTATACTCCTTTTGAATCACAATCTTAAGGAGGTAACATTTGGTGATCAGTTTTTAATATTAGTAAAACTATCGTATTAGTAGTGTTTAGTATTAAACACACATCCAACTAAGCTTAAAATCATTATGCAAGCAATAGTTTACGATGACAATTGAATGGAGAACTTTCAAATCTTTAATTACTGTACTAGTTTTAGAAGTATTTTTATTAACAATTAACGATCCGCCCCGGCTTCGCACGGTTGATTTCTGGATCTCGCCAACAACGCCACCTACCGAGTACAATTGTGAATCTAAACCAGTCTCTAATCAACTTAATCACACACACACACACAATTTCATCAAAATCGGTCCAGCCGTTAAAGAGTTCAGTTCAAGTGTGTATGTGACGTGACACACGGACAGAAGAATTGTATAATATATAATGTGCATTTATTATACATATAAACTTTTCGCTTGAGTGATTCTGTCTACTAATGAAAACCGCATTAAAATAAAATGCGCAGTTTAAAAGGTCTGAACGTACAGACAGCGAGAAGCGACTGTGTTTTGTACTATTAGTGCTATAGTGATTGGTTCCAATAATTTCGAAAGCATTATTACAAGCAAAAAATTTTCGAAGCGTCAGTAGCCTAATGACAGGGCGCGTACCGCGAACTCGAAAGGTCGTGGGTTCGAATCCGCCATTCGACTACTGTCGTAAACCACTTCTAACACAAGCATTTTAAACTTACCAGAAGTGGTTAAAGGGAATACTAGTAATGTTTAATAGCATTACTAGTATTTTTTTAAATAATAATAATTGCTTCCAATTCAAAATTTGTTTTTATTTTATATAGTATCAAGAGACACGCTACAGCTATATTATGGATGTAGCGTGAATGAGTCGGCTCGACCGGGGAAGGACCACACTTTGGACTTAAAAAGTTTGTTGATAATGATGATATGTACAACAGTGTACTCTTAAAAATATTTTATTTGTTCCTATTACTGATTTTAAGTTGTTTAATTCCTTCATTTAAAAATAAAACGATTCTTAGAACATGAAAGTGACAAATGGTGTAACATTGGAAAATACAAATTATACGGATTTTATCTAGTTTTATATAATTACTGCTGTAGAATATTACACAGCCTGTAACCTCGTAATTCCTTTGAGACAGGAACGACATAATAAATGCTCAGTGCATATATATATATGAGTGAATTATTGCCCAGGTTTCGGTAAGCTGTGTCCACACCGGACAGCCTGCAAGCGACTGGTCTCCATGAACATGCCTCTCAACTCAGACGGCACCGTCAACTTCAACGCAACGCTATTTGCCGTAGTGCGGACGCAGTTACAGATAAAAACTACAGGTTTGCATCGAATAAAATTCTGAATAACAAGGCGGGGTGGGAAGAACGGGGAGGGGTTGAATTTGAATGAACGAAAAGTTACAATAAAAGTCGACAAGTTTAGGTAGGTTATCGATAAATTGGCGAAATATTCCAGATGGGTTAAATGAAGAGTAACCCTTAATTGACGAACCAAATTGACTTAATTGCCAAATGGAAATCCGTAGTCTCTGCCTACGTTTTTGGGTGACAGCCGAAAGAGTTTTTGTATGTATTTATATGTAGATATTCGACTAGTTTTAAATGTAAGAGAATCCATTCTTTGGGTGTTTTAAAAGAGGACTATGGAAAATGTCGGAAGGACCATAAAACTTCACACGGATGGCGGTAGATTTCGTTTACGATAGAAATAAAACATTTAGATCTATCGATCTAATAAAATATCTAGAGAGGTGATGGGTAGCAGCGTCGAAGTTTCAAAATATCTGGCACGGTGACTTCCCATTCAACCTCCAAACGTAACGATTAAATCAATTCCCAAAGGGATAGGTCCATGTATAGCTGTCGACTTTTGCGGGTTGATGGAGAAGTAAATCAAAACGAAACAGAAAAAAAAAGACAATAAAGTTACATTAAACAATTTTTTTTTTCGTTACAATAAATTTTTACACGTGGTAGAGCCATGCTGCAGCTATATTAGTAGTATTGTTGTAGCACGAATGGGTCGACCCGGGGAAGGACCACGCTCTCACAGAATACCAGCGTAAAATAGTAGCTTAACGCTGCTGTGTTTCGTATGGTGAGTGTAGAGAACCGGAGACCCTTTTTACTGGAAACGAGGCATTCCATCTTAGTCCTCACGGGTGACAAAGCATCTGCATTTTGATTCGTATTCGAGGTTAGATGTAGATGTCTATGGGCCACAGCAACCACTTACCATCAGGTGCACTGTGTGCTCGTTTGTTACCCTTATCATATAAAAAACATGTCTTCGAAATATGTTTATTGTTTAGACACGATTGCAGATTTCATCGTGATGTTTTGTGACTCCCTTAACGCTAAGCATGTGGTGAATCAGCACTTAAAATTGCAATTGACTATTTCATTTGTGCTGGCGAAAAAAAACAACTTAAAATTATAGAAAGCGCATCCTCTTCTAAACAAGTCTCTGAGCTACCATGAGTATGAATGAAGAGAAGAAAGATATAAATATAAGAATAGTTTTATAAAAGGCTTTCGACACTGTTATATTAACAGGGGTCATAGACGAATGTAACACGGAACTAAGGGCCATTATTAAGAAGATCTGGAAACGCACATCGCCGAAGCTGCTCGACCAAGTAGTCCCACCTCCAGGAGATCCTAACGAGATCACAGTGGGCAAGTTCTACGCGACATTCCTCATTCAAGACTATTTCAGAAGGTAAGTGTGAGACAATGAAATTGGTAAATGTATAGGTTTTTTCCTACATTGAGACACATTTTATCGTTCAGTTGAATTATAGATTATATTCTACTTTTATAATTATGAATCTTTATTAAATTTTAATATTCTTTTATTAAATTTTATCACCCGCAGTGTTCTAGAATTATATAAAAAAGCTTAGTAAAAATAGCATTATTTTTATTAAGTAATATTTTATAGATTAAATTTGAAAAGGTTGTATTAACACACCAATATAGATCTGCCATTTTTATTTTTAGAATTTTATAAGAATTTTCCCACACTTTTCCGTTTAGTAGACCTTATGATTTCTAGTTTGTAAAATATTTTTGACGATGGAGATTAACTCAAATTATTTCTATTTTTATAGGAACCATGCGTAAGTCCAACAAAATTTAAGCAACTTGAAAATAAATCCGCTGTATTTATGCTTTTATGTCTTGGAGTTTTTCAATCGATAATGAGATATCGTGTTCTCCATAAACCCAAGGCGTCGCTTAAATTTTCTACCCTTTTGGAAGTTTGGATTGTGAATGATGCTCCTATTCCATTATACAATCACCTTTATACTAATTCAATTTAGTATATTTTTTGTTTTACTCTGGTAACTCTAGTCGCTTACTATTAGACACTTAGTAGATATGATAAAATTAAAAATAAAGGCGATTGTATAACCGCGAAAATCATGAATAATTTTATTTTCAGCTTTCCTGCATTTTAAGGTCATTTTGTCACTTGTACAAGATTAATATAAGCATGACTTTCGACCACAATTTATTTTTGAACATTCCAAAGCATGTTTTCTCCGTGTGTAACGTTTTTGTTGTCTCTACAGCCACTTGCTTTGAACAATCGCACACATCCCCACTCTACCCATTTTTGTTTGCTGAACTCTTGCGTGTTCTTTGAGCGTGGTCAATTTATTGTGTTATTATGAATTTTGCATGTACAGATTAGCGTTCATTTTTCCAATTGGCTTTTATCTAACATTATCCCATTTTTCTTTTTGTTAAATATTGGAAGTCACATTGAGAAGACATGTTCTTGGAATAGGCTATGTAGACTTAAGAGGATTTAAATAAGGTAATTACGAATTTTGACACGGTTGTGTACTAACGAACCAACATAGTGAAATTTTATAGTTTCTTTAAATTGTGTTTTTAGATTTGTTTAGAGAACGATATTTTTTCTAACATTTCACGGCAAGTTAGTTTAAAATATTAATATTAGTCGAATTTTGAATTGGTTAATTTTTATCGATTTCCAGTGATACATGTATTCACAAAATATACTAGGTTCCGTAAACGTAAGGAGCAAGCAGCCGCGGCGTCCATGCAGAACCACCAGATGACCCTGCAGGCTGGTCTGCGGACTCTTCACGAAGCTGGCCCCGAGCTCAAAAGAGCTATATCCGGAAATCTGGACGAGATTGTACCAGAGACTGTCGAGCCTATGCATAGGGTGAGTATGTTTTTTGGATGCGCCCGGATTAATGTTGTTATATTGTTAAGCTAGTTATATAAAACATAAGCCTTCCCATAGATTGGCTCATAGGGGGGATATTTGTCATAGTTGCCACGCTTGACATGCTGGTTGGCAATCTCAAGTTTTTATTTTTAAATTGTTATTAGGAAGACAGCGCTGCAAGTCACTTAGTTTGTTTCCTCTGTTACTTCTTACGACGTCCACGGGATGACAAGGGGCAGTGAATATTTTTATTTATTTATTATTTATTTACTCTTTATTGTACACCAAAAAACAAAACAAAAACGAGTACAGTTAAATCTAAAGTAGAATATGTACAATAGGCGGTCTTATCACTCTGAAAGTGATTTCTTCCAGGCAACCTTAGTGTAGAGAACTGATACAAACAATAGTTAAAAATAGAAGGGGCGTACAAAATTAAAAAAAAATATGAAAATATGAAAATACATATAAATAAAGATAAGTTTTTTTATAAGATAAGATTTTTACACCGCCACTACACATGCCCTCTCCAAAATATGTATAAAATTAATTATATTACTATTAGAGTTATGGCAATTCCAGCTTTTACTGTTTTGTCTTTTTAAATACTTTCTTCCCAATTAACATTGCAATCAGCTTTCTTTATAGGTGAGAGGGCAAACGAGCATGCGGCTCACTTGATGGTAAGTGACTACCGCCACCCATGAACAACTGCAACACCAGGGGAACCAGGGTAATTACAGATGCGTTGCCGGCCTTTATTTCAGCTTGCTTAGTATGGACTTAAATTACTCAGTGTGAGGTTTATTCTTTTCAAACATTCACATCTTTTATTATTAAGTAATTCTGAAAGTGTTTGTATTTTTGATAAAAATATTTTTAAGAAATTTCTCGCGTTTATTTTAATTTATTTTAATACAGACAATTCGGGTATTTTATAGCACCCATGATCACAAGGAGACATGGGGGGACTGAGGTGTTGGACGTTCTGTAGTCATTGTTAATACGGGCTTCCTCAGGTTCTAATTATTAATTTTGATCTGATCTACATAGAAGGAGCACCGTAAAAAATATTTGAAAGTGGTTATTCCCAGGACAGAGGTTTTCTCTGAATCTGTGGTAAAAGTAAGAAAGACTTCTATATTGAATAAAAAGATATTCGATTCTATTCTGTATCCTGAAGTCGTAGTGTTATGCTTAGATTTGTACTTTTATAGTAATTTATCCATTTCAGTATTTCAAGTGGATAATAGCATCCAAACTTTTCTACTATTGAAATTAGGATGTCTTTTAATTTTAATAGCAACGCTTATTATCACTGGTAGGAATTAGTGTTCGGAAAAATAAATTTCGGTTCTGATGAAGCATGTCACGGATCTTTTTTATTTTAAATCTTTTAATATCATCTTTTAGCAAGCGACTTTTGAAATGTTGACATTAAGGATTGACAATCAGCGGCAGTAGTTTGCTCTGGTTTGTTTTTAATTTTCATTTTCATTGTATGTTATCTTTCCTTAGGATATACCCTAACGATTTTTTGGTTCATATTTAAATGGTATTTGACAAGAATATTCATCAGATCCTTTTTTTGTAATTAAAAGTAATTATAAGTTGTACTATACTGATTTCAAAATTCAAAAGAGTCCGCAATCCGCCATTTGGCTACTTTTGTAAACCACTTTTAATACAAGCATTTTAACACTTTTACTGTCCGATTTTCAGACACAATAGTAAGACAATAGTAAGATAATAGTAAGACAATAGTAAGACAATAATAAGACAATGAACTACACGGGACAATGAATAGGTTAAGCTAACTGGAGTGGTTAAACGAAATATTAGTAGTGTTAATGGTACTGCTAGGATTCTTCCAAGAAAATGATGATGATGATGGTGTCTGTCAGGTTTATTTTTTTTTATTAGGAAACTCAACAGTATATTTTTAACAAACATACTTAAAATATATATTAATACTAAGTGTACAGAGTTTTTAATTAGAACATTGACATTTAAACAACGCGATAATTGCACGAAACCGTCTTTATGTCCTCATCGCCACCAGTATATGAATATTGACAAATGTTTGTAAATTTGCAGCGCAACCACACACTGTTCGGTGCAGTATGGACAACGATCAAGAAGCGTGGTCGGGAGAGTTTCTACAAGCCACCAATGCCCAAACCTGAGAAAAAGCTAAGCGGTATTTTTTGTTTTATCTTCACCATATGCCTTTGTTTACCAGCCTCCATAATTTCACTGCTTGAGTATTGGATAGAGGTTTGTTGCAAACAAATGCACGTGAGATTGAGCGTGCTCGATGCCAAGTAATAGTACACCGACTACTATGTTCCAGATTGACTAGTAAGAGAGTCAGTATATTTAAAGGCTGTGAGGCGTTTCATGTCAGTTCTCTTTTTTAAAGATTGCAGCTTTCCATGGACTACAGTGGCCACTTACCATCAGGTGGTATTTTTCATAGGATAGGGTGACAAACGAACACACAGTCCACCTGATGGTAAGTGGTTGCTGTGATCCATAGACATTTATCCTCAATAAAGAATCAAAATGCAGATGCACGGTTCCGTGGCGCAGTGGCTTAGCAATGAGTTGTTGCGCTGGGGGCCGTGGGTTCGAATCCCGCACGGAACAAGTATTTGTATGGCCTACAAATAATTGTTCCGGGTCTGGATGTTTGTCCTCCTGCAATTTATGTTTGTAAACTGCCTCCACGATACAGGAGAAAATCCTAGTGTGGTGGTAACGTTTTTTTTTTAAAAAAATGCGTTGTCACCCGTGAGGACTAAGATGGAAAGCCTCTTCTTCGCTAAAAAGGGTCTCCGGTTCTCTACAGTCACTATACGAAACACAGAAGTGTTAAGCTGCTATTTTATGCTGGTATTCTGTGAGAGCGTGGTCTTTCCCCGGTTGAGCGGAGCCATTCGTGCTACAACTATACAATTAATATAGCTGCAGCATGGCTCTATCACGTATAATATTTGTTAGCTCGTTTGTCATTATATAGAAATATAGAATAGAGAAAGTTTCTCAATTACGATTTCTTTGCATTTATTCGGTTTTCAATTTCAAGATTCAAGACTAGTTCAATTTACTGAATGGGAATGACATATTATCTCAATGTTAAGTCACGTGATAGTCACGTGACAGCGTTGATTTCTTACATTTTTATAGTTTTCTTTTAGCGTTGAAAATTGTAGAATATCAAATTGGCTAACGCTGATGATATTCGTAGTTTAGTGTATCATGCCGGTATAAACTGCATGGAACTATATAACTTAAATCTGTTAGGTCACATGTGTTTTCTAAACATATTAGGAGGACAGGAGGAAAAGTGATAGTGGTGATGGTACAGGGGATCGTCACAAACGTGAGTGTATAAAACATAACTATTCAAGTGTAATTTCTTTTTAGGGCCTCCTAAAAGTGGTCAAACGCTTAGTTTGATGATGCAACGAGAATTGGGCTTAGATGGCAAGATCCCCGAGGACGACTCGTAAGTATAAAATGTTTCTTTACCCGACTGCCTCATATAAATATATATCTATTTATTTGGCTCGCTCTGTAGCGTAAATGGCTTGATGTATTTTAATATACTTATGAAGTGTCGATCGATTCGTCTTTTTTTCTTTATTTAAAGAGAACATAGAGATATGATAATACACAATTAATTTTTAAATTAGTTTAGTACAAAAGCCAGTAAAGTTTTTATTAACTAATGATAACATTCTTAATCATTGAACAGAAATACTGATAAACAATTGTTTTATGTAACATATTTTAAAGGTAAAAACTGTCTGGCAATGAAAAATAATGATTAAACCTAGATATTATGTAAGCGCTTGATGGCAGATATACATTTAAAAATGTTCAAATTAAATATATACAAAATATTATGACGTTGATTATAGAAATTACAGTGTAACAAAAAATCGATTTCTCGCATAGTTAGTCTTACGAGTCGTAAGACTAACTATGCGAGAAATCGTAAGTTACGAGCGGGAATGTAAAAGGTAGATTTTAAGTTATGTCGCAGATAAATCTTAGGACATAATTAATAGAATCAGGCGTTACTTTGCGGAAATCCATTATATAAAAGCTTTTAGAAAAATTTACTTCGCAAATATCCGCGTTATAAAATAAAATGATGTGTCTAGTATGAAGAGCACCTCCCGCCCTCCCTCAATTGCGTGCACTATCCCCGTTACCACTAATCCCAGCACCGCTACTCCCAACACCACTACACTAGGCAAGACACACCACTGACGATAATACGACACGTGTTTCGGCTCTACACGAGGCATCCTCAGGTGATATAGACTCTACGGTGGCTAACCTTAGTTTTGCGAAGTAAATTTTTCTAAAAGCTTTTAAATCTTAGGACATTTTAATGTGATTTTACGCAATAAGTATGAAGAGTCAATTTCTAATGTATAAAATTCTCGTGTCGCGGTGTTTGTTACCAAACTCCTCCGAAACGGCTCGACCGATTTGTATGAAATTTTGTGTGCATATCGCGTAGGTCTGAGAATCGGCCAACATCTATTTTTCAAACCCCTAAATGATAAGGGTAACCCACCCTTAAATGTTTTATTTTTTATTTTTTTGACAAACATTTTTATTTTTATTTTATCATGATTTAGCATTGAAAAATACAAAACAAAATAAACTTCAAATTTCTCCTTTCTAGGATGAACGCCTGTTTTTTAATCGCGATTTTTAATGTATATGGCAAAACAACGCTTGCCGAGTCAGCTAGTAATTATTTAAATTTGAATTTTGTCTTAGTTGTGGATGTGACATAGGGTATAAAAAAAAATTCTCTTTCACAGTCAGGTTTTTTTTATTATGGCTTTAACCAGTGGGCTTCTTTACTTCATCGTCACTATCTTAATGGTTATAGAAGCGATGCTATTAATACATATTCAAAACTATCTACTAGAAATAGAAGCGGTTCTAGCATGAAGTATTATTCATCGGGCCAATTAGTAGCCAATTGTATTGATGCAACGCTATCGATCGTGTGATGAAATTTCCAAACGAACGAGGAACATACAATTTGTTTGGTTCTGAGTGTATGCAGTTTATATATTATGTACCCAGAATAGGTATTTATCGTATTTGTAAAAACCTATACTATAATCAGTATATCAGTAGATATATATCATTAATAATTTTACAAATATTAAGTTATTGATTTTAATTATCTTGATATGACATTTAACATGTAACCTTAATACAACCTATAAACTGATGGGGAAGAAAGGTTCTTTAGTGGTAGGATCGTGCTACTAGCACGATCCTACCACTAAAGAACTCTCTCCACTAAATGAGAGGGCTCTCTCCACTAAATGAGAGGGCTCTCTCCACTAAATGAGAGGGCTCTCTCCACTAAATGAGAGGGCTCTCTCCACTAAATGTAGTGACGACTTAATGAAACCTTTAGGGAATCGATAAATGCTGATAGCTTCCTGAGCTAGCCGTAATTTGTAGCAATATATGATATGTTCAGCAGTGGACTTGTTATGGGCTATTATGATGATGATGATGATTTTGTTACAATATATTAAGGTCACAGTTTTAGAAATTATAAAATAATGCAAAAAATAAAATAAAATCAAAATTGTTTTACCTTCAAGTTGATTTTTTATTTCGGAATTTTCAATGGGGATCTTCCGTTCACCAGATGTCGCTAGTTCACAGTGAGGTCAAATTAGTTTTTAAGTAAAAGTTTACACCTTAAGTTTTTGCACCTTCATAACTCTTTTTTTAATTTTTTAAGGTTTGGTTTATTTATTTAATCTAATTAATATGAAATATAACTATTAGTACGGAAAGAAACATTTACATTTATCGAACAAATTAACTTCCCCGCTATGAAATATGTCACCTCATTTTTAAGCGACGCCGCCCTGGTGGCAGAAAAAGTCTTAGATAACCTCATTGACTTAAAATTATTTCAAAAATTTTTAACTGTGTGTTTAGAATGTGATAATTTTTGTAATGATGAGCTTGTGAACGAATTTATAACATTTTTTTTATTATGTTTAGAAAATTCGACGATGGACATCAAAGTGACGAGGAAATAGCGATGCAACCACTTTTACATGGAAAAGACTCCGAACGAATATTTAAGGTTATTGAGTAAGTATTTTTATTTTTATCGTTATATACTTATTCAGGTTAAGAAAAATGCCAGGTTAAGTGGTAAAAAAGTATGTATTTATTGTGGAATACTTAAAAGGCACGCGGGTAAAAAATTAACATTAAAATAATTAAAATAAAAAAATTGTAAATGGACGTTTTGACTATGTGTACTACTCTAATTTTATATTATTCTAATGACGTCATAACACTGTATTGATTTTTAATTAAATTAAAAACTTTATATAAATTACATTGAATAATTTGACTTTTTAATTTTTTTACGTTTTATTGGCTGTGCAAGAATATCCACCAATTAAATTATTTGCATCATTTTGACATTTTAATTTGGTTCAGTTGATCAGTTTGCTTTCTTTATCTGATAGCTATTTTTACTATGCCCAAGGAACAAGCTAGTCATACCAGTTTACTTGACTACAAAGGTTCAGTAATTCCTTTATGGGCCAATGTATACGCTTTTACAGTAAAGTCCCAGAAAATATGCAAGAACTATCTATAAAAAAGTTTACAGTTTTTAATAAGCAAATATTGCTTAATTAGGGTTATAAAACTACTAATCATGTACTCTACATGATTGATAATAACCCCTGACGTGATCGTTGCTATACTGTTTTGAAATGTTTTCATACTTGATGGTATAAAATATTATATTGTTAATTAATTACTTTTAAAAATCCCGCTGGGTTTCTTCCTGGTTCTTCCCGGGGCAGACATTTTTTTCCCAACCCGTGGTAAATCTTAAATGACTTTCAATATGTATTTTTGTAATCTATATTGAATAAAAAGGAATGTATTCTATTGTTTAATATTAAAATACAATAGCAATTTTAATTTTACGATCGTTTAAAGCATAGACTTAGGATAGTCTAAGTCTATGGTTTAAAGTTTTTTGACCGGAAACATTTTCCTTGACCTGGATTTTAAATTTAAATAACAGCATTAAACGTGTAAAAGTTATCTGTAAATTTTGTTAATTTTGTTGCTACACGTATTATCAAATTAGAAATTTTCGTTTTGTTATCATTTCATTAATTTACTTGTAGCCTTCTCTGTGACGTGAATGTTCTGTGCTCTTCGTCACATCATGGCACATTAAAATCTTCAATTCAAGTTATTGTAATTTTATACTGTTGTCATTACGTTCTAAACATAGGTCCCAAAAGATTACAATGTCATTATTTATTTTATCATTAATACTCACCTATTGTCGCCCTAACACTAATAAAAATAGACGGAGCGCTGCGTACTTTTGTCGTGACGCCTAAAACAAACAATGCACAACTATTTGTAAGAACACGCACTCATGTACACATAATAGTTATGTGTGTGAGTGTTCTTATCTTTCTGATATCAACTTCTGACGAACAAAGAAAGAAAGAAGAAGCGCTGCGTACATTTCAGCTGGTGCTGAATCTATGCCCAACTTCTTGACATGCAATCACGCACGAACAGGCAGACAGATAAACAGAAATTTAAAAAATTCTGTTATGGTTTATATAGCTATTCATGTCTTAACGCTATACACAATAGCCCCATGAGCTCGTTAAGCAGTTATTTCTATATAACAGACACACACTTCAATTTTATTTATATTTGTATCTTTAATATAAGAATTACGTGTCACATTGTTTGTCAGCGATGAACTACGAAACCACTCAACCGATATTAATGAAATTTAGTAAACGTGTACTAAGAGATATGATAGTTTTTATCGCGAGAAGTGAGCTTCAATATTTTTATTGCGATTAAAGATGGTCGTCGTAAAGGGCAGAACAAAGTCTGCCTGGCCAGTTAGTATATATATTTATAAAGATCAGCCAAAACTTCGGATGCGTAAAAATGACTGACATTGTTAATCGGGAACCGGTTGAAGTTAATGACGCCAGTATAAAGTACTAAGTCCGATAACGTTTCCAGAAAAACATCGCACGACTTAATGCAGAATATGCGAAACAGCCGTAAGTCCGTTTTAGTGTGTTGTGATTGTGTTATATTTGAATTATTATTTAAGTACTTTATTTTTTATTTTATTTTTTAAGTTTATTGGCTTTATTTTGTGCTGAGTGTGATGCTATTTAAGCGACAGTAGGCGAATAATAAGGTTACGGAATGCAAATCTCAAGTCATAATGTCGAACTCTTCATTCAACAATTCAAACCAATCAACCAATCATCATCATTACAGCACTTCATAAGTCCACTGCTGAACATAGGCCTCCCCCAAGAAATACCACAAAGCACGGTCCTGAGCCACCTGCATCCATCGACTTCCTGCATGTCTTACCAGGTCGTCACCCCATCTAGTGGGGGGTCGCCCTACACTTCGACGAGGCTCCCAATTGAGAACCTTTCTTCCCCATCGGTTGTCGGTTCTTCGAGCTATATGGCCGGCCCATTGCCACTTCAGCTTACTAATCCGTTGGGCTATGTCGGTTACTCTGGTTCTACTGCGGATATCACGCAGAGAAATCCCGAGCATAGCCCTCTCCATAGCTCGCTGAGTGACTTTGAGCTTCCTCATACGGCCAGCAGTGAAGAACCACGTCTCAGATGCGTAATTCATCACTGGCAACACGCACTGGTTGTACAATTTCGTTTTCAGGTTTTGAGGTATATGTAACGAGAATATGTGTCGTAGTTTCCCGAACGCTGTCTGTAATTTGTCCCAGGTAAACATACTCGTCAACAACTTCGAGCTTAGTGCTCCCAACAACTACCGGCATAGGTGTGACATGGACGTTAAACATGATTTTTGTTTTGTCCATGTTCATCTTAAGACCTATCCGTTGGCAGACACTATTGAAGTCATTTAGCATAGTGCTTAGGTCCTCCAGCGATTCTGTCATAAGTACTATATCGTCGGCAAATCGAAGGTGAGTGATGTACTCGCCATTGATGTTAATACCGCATCCTTTCCAGTCCAGAGTTTTGGGGATATAACGTCACCCTGTCTTACACCTCGCTGCAGTTGGATAGATTTCGTACTCTGATTCTGTAATCAACCAAACATAGTTTTATTTTTCTAAACACAACAACACTTACTTATTAGCTTCACCAATTTGAGCAGGAGTCATATTATATGCAGTATGCCTTACTCGCTCTTTTTTCAAATATTCATGCCTAATTTGTTTTTTTTTTTAACTCTACGAGTACGTAATTATTGTCGTAAACGTGTAACTACACGGCTACATTGCGCAACCCGTCTTTTTTTGAAAATGTTTAAATGAAGTATTTAGCGGGAATATTAATAAAAAGAGATGTGGTGGTACTTCACACCGGAATAACTGTTTACTCCGATCGTGCATGGAGTATTGTTGCTTTATATGGGTTGGTGCTTTATATGGGAAAAAAGGTTCTCGAGTGGCAGCATCGGAGTGACGACCTGGTAAGACATGCAGGAAGTGTATGGATGCAGGTGGCCCAGGAGCGTGCTGCGCGCTTGTGGTATTCCTTGAGGGAGGACTATGTTCAGCAGTGGACTTGTGAAAGGCTGTAATGATGGTGGTGGGATGGTGCTAAAAATTGCTACCTATCAGCTTTGCACACAATGAAAAGGCGTGCTAAGAGGCTTATTGGTGACTCTTGCTAAGACCAATTTCACCAGTCTCGAACACAAGGTGTAAAGTTGCCAGCCTTTTGGTTTTCTACATGATACATTTCGGAGAGTGTTTGAATTGCATAACTTAAATCCTCCCTCTCCCTTCCACCATTAAGCAAGTCGTTGTCGACTTACCACGCATTCGAATCAAATAGTTTGTTACATCGTTCGTTCGGAGTGGAATGAGTTGTCAGCATCTGTCTTTCCATCTGATCACAATGTGATTCAAGGCAGGCGTGAATAGGCTTTCGCTAAACTAAGTCAGTGCGTTTTGCCATCTTCGGCTGCATTAACGCTCACAATTAAATGGAATAGAAGTCAAACACTGGCTTATCTATATACTATAATATAATAAAGCGGAAGAGTTTTTTTGTTTGTTTAAACGCGCTAATCTCTGGAACTACCAGTCCAATTTGAAAAATTCTTTTTGTATATTATAGCCAGATTCATGTGGAATAGTATAGGCTAGGCTATCTAGCATTAAGCTATATTACTCAGCTAGCCTTAAATATGGATATTTGTTAAGCAAGTCAGAAGAAAAAGCACTCCCGAAATGATTTATCCGCGTACGCTGGTGTTATCGTTAGGGATACGTAAATACAATGTTCTAGAAAAATATAGACCTTTACTCCGTCTAAAAAAAAGTCCGAGATACCATATGTCTATTTCATATACATAAGCCATTATTTGGTATTTTGTGACAAAAAATATTGAAAATTTAAAAGTCATTTATGAGCGTTATTATTAGGCATGGACTATTTATCCTTACGAACGAAAGTTACTTCATCATCAAGACAACTTTATGAAGATAAACTTTGTTCTTTATACCATGTTATTTGGACGCATAGTTTAAGAGATAACGTAAAATTAAAATGATTCAATACTTGGCTGGGCGCGCGAACGACGCTTAAACCCTAGTCGTTATATAATGCTTGAACTAGGTCATGTCGCGCACCTCGGACACGTGATGACGCGGGTGAAACCGCGGGGCACAGCTAGTAACAGTATAAAATATTAGTGTGCCTTTCCTTACGTAGGTATTAGTGTGGTTTAAAAATAATAAACCGAATGAGAGCGGGATGCGTGACCTTGTCAAGTCGACAGTATAAAACCCAAGTTTTTTCTTTGCTTCGCGTTTGAGGTGTGCAAAAGGTTGCCAATATTTATTTTAATCAACAATAATTCCTTAATTTTAGTTTTTTATTATCCATTTATATTTGTATGTATTTTATTTATTTATTTTTGCTTGCATCTTGGTCTCGGCCTACCTATTATTAAACTTTATTTTACTATATATATATATGTTGCAAATATAATATAAGTTAAACTATACATGATGTTATTCAATTTATTTATTTTGAACATTAGTCACATCACTAAAATTAGTAAAATCATCCGTCATTGTTGCCTGGGTTAATTTTTAATTTACTGTACATATAAATCTATTATTGTAGCATGGTTATAACACTACCCAGTATTGGTCAGTTTAAATTATATTTTATTTTATACTCTGTGTTACTAAACGCGAAAAAAAAAATGTATAAAAGGAATCTGTAAAATTGATAGACCTACATGCTAACACGCATGATCTTTATGAATTAATAATCGTCGAATTGGTTTGTGTGCGACTGTACACGATATAGTAATTTTCCATGATATTTATAAATGTTTCGGTTTCATCTAGATCGTGACAAGACACCAAGACAAAACAGCGCCGTGCCTTATTGTGTAGAGAATCCAGCGGAGAGCCTTATCGCTCGAGTAAGTTTTAGTCAGATTTTACCTTTATCGTACAGACTACCATAAGTCCACCGCTAAACATAGATCTCGCCCTTACATTGTCTCATAGGGGTCGCATACATATTTGCCATTGGTGTAACGCTTGGCAAGCGGGTTGGCAGGTTTTCATTTCCTATACAGCTGTTCTGTTGTAAAAGAAAGATGTTGCTGTCTATTTTCTGGTTCAGTCTCCTTCCCTCTGTCGCCTCTTACGACACCCACAGGATGATATGGAGTAGTGGATATTCTTACACCGCCACTACACGGTTCAGATCTACTTACATTTTTTTACGTGGTATAGCCATGCTGCAGCTATATTAGTAGTATAGTTGTAGCACGAATGGGTCGGCACGACCGGGGAAGGACCGCGCTCTCACAGAATACCAGCGTAAAATAGCAGCATAACACTGCTGTCTTTAGTATGGTAAGTGTAGAAAACCGGAGACCCTTTTTACTGGAAAAGAGACATTCCATCTTATTCCTCACGGGTGACAACGCATCTGCATTTTGATTCGCAGACGAGGATAAATGTAGATGTCTATGTGCCACAGCAACATTTTTATATTGTGGTATGTGGTGACGATGTAAGGGGATCTATCACCACATTCTGTCTCGTGATAAGGCTACTATGGGAAATTCCAGAATATCTTATGCCTTCCAATAGATTGCGGTATCATCACCTCGTTCTCCAGACGGTAGCAGCGTCAAAACTGGTTAGGTCTAGTACTGCAGTTACCAATTCACCTGCCAAGCATGGGAATTAAGTCCGACCCTATCCACGAAGAGAGCGGCCCATGTCCAGCTGTGTACTTACAGGCTGATGATAAAAAGACATATTAATATTACATTATTTTGTATTTTTTCCAAAACTATGCTGAATCTCCCGACATTATTCTTAAATTGGCGCCGTGAGCAATCTGTCATGTTCTTTTTTTATAGGATAAGGGTGAGAAGCTAACACACAATATACCTGATGATAAGTGGTTGCTGTGGCTCAGTGGCCCATAGAAATATCTTCGTTTGCGAATCAAAATGCTGATGCGTTGTCAGCCGTGAGGACTAAGATGGAATGCCTGCTTTTGCGGTAAAAAGGGTCTCCGGTTCTGCACACTCACCATGCAAAACATAGCGCATTAAGATGCTATTTTACGCTAGTATTCTGTGAGAGCGTGTACTTCCCCGGTCGAGCCGACCCATTCGTGCTACAACTATACTACTAATATAGCTGCAGCATGCTTCTACCACGTTAAAGTTACCATTTACCATTTTAAATTGATATCAAAGTTTACCATGTTAAATTTAATATCCAAATCATACATTGTAATTCTCTTATGTACGGCAAGACATGCATTCGCAAAACACGACCTGGACCTGAAGAAACTCTGGAGCGTTATTGTTAAGCCATGTTACAACGTCATTTAATAACTTATAATAAAATTGATAAACTGTAAAGAAATTAATATAAATGTTTATATCAGGTATTAATGGAGGAGGGGCTGGGCAAGTACTGTGATAAGGACTTCATACAGAGCACCTCCCGCGAGATGCAGGAGGCGCTCGACCTCACGCAGGAGGAGATGGACACGTGAGCTACTCACTTACATTTTATCAATACTCTGTTTCATTCATCGTTCATTATAGCGCATCAAAAAATCACAGAACATAGGCCTCTATTACAGATTGTCTCATAGAGAGGGGTGGGGGTGTGGGGTAGAGGGGAGCGGGGGTGTTATTAATACAAGAGTGCGGTTACAAGTCACCTGCCAATGGCTTGCAACAGCTCTTTTGTATTTATGTATTATCTTGATTCGTTATCACGAAGATATTGCTGCGCATCTTCCATTTCATTTTTTTTATAGGATAAGGGTGACAAACGAGCACACAGTCCACCTGATGGTAAGTGGTTGCTGTGACCCATAGACAACTACATTTATCCTCGATTCCTTCGATCAAAATGCAGATGCGTTGTCACCCGTGAGGACTAAGATGGAATGCATCGTTTCCAGTAAAAAGGGTCGCCGGTAAAGTTTCGCTCTCGAGTCACCTCTTATGACACACATATGATATGAGGTAGTGATTTCTGAAAATAGAGACTACTGCACTCACTCACTTGCCAAGGGTACGGTAAAGTTAAAAATCATAACACCTTTTGTATAGAAGAGGGGCAAACGAGCATTGGGCTCATCTAATGGTATGTTTCGACTGCTACGCATAAACAACTGTAACATCAAGAGAATTGCAAGTACGTCGCCTGCCATTTAAAAAGGAGTAAGCTCGTTCCTTGAAAGTACCTAAGTATCGGTCCGGAAAAATCACCGGTGGTAAACGATACCTATTATTGTTATATCCATTTCCAACATAACATAGACTATAAAAGTCTTTTACAGACTTTATTATTTTTATAAACCGTGACAAAATAGAGAAAGGAAGCAATTTCTGGCGCTAGTGACTCCGGAAAAAACTTATTAGAATAGAATAGAATATTTTTTTATTCAATATACATTACATGTGTAATTCATATTGAAAGTCATTTTTTACTTTACCACTGGTTGGAAAAAAAACGCTCTGTCCTGGGAAGAACCAGCAAGAAACCCAGCGGGATTTTTTTAAAGCAAATTTTACATTAATGGTTGTACAAACTATATAAGTACAAAATTTATTTTAGAAACAGCTTGGAAGCGACCACCTCATTCCCAGGGGTTATTACCAACCACATATTCATTTATACTATAATAACCCTTTTTATACAGTTTCAACTTAACAAAACATTTAAACTTGGTAATGTGTAATTCATATTGAAAGTCATTTTTTACTTTACCACTGGTTGGAAAAAAAACGCTCTGTCCTGGGAAGAACCAGCAAGAAACCCAGCGGGACTTTTTTTTAAAATAAATTTTACAATATAAATGATTACGAACTATTTACAAAATTTATTTTAGAAATTGCTTGGAAGCGACCACCTCATTCCCAGCGGTTATTATAAACAATGTATTCATTTATACTATAATAACTCTTTTTATACAGTTTCAGTTTAATAAAACATTTAAACTTGGTAATTAAGAGAACCTGTACACTTTCCGGGACCTTGTTGTAATAGCGAATATTCGTATGTTACGCCAAGCTGGGAGTCAATAAACGCTTGGGACTGTGTTTAATGGTAATTACGAGTACAGGGCAAGGCCTGTGTTCAGCAGTGAATGACTTGTGATGGACAGTAACGATGATTATAATGATGATATGAATATGCTACAGGATTAAAGAGATAAAGAATTCGACATTCGACACCCTTATTACTGGAAAAGAGGCATTCCATCTTAGTCCTCACGGGTGACAACGCATCTGCATTTTGATTCGTATTCGAGGAAAGATGTAGATGTCTATGAGCCACAGCAACGACTTACCATCAGGTGGACTGTGTGCTCGTTTGTCACCCTTATAATCGTACTACAAAAAAAAGATTGCATAGTGTTAGTTTTTTTTTTTTTGGTTATTGTCAATTTGCCTCCGTCTTGTATATCTTATTATTATATATATTTTTCGGTTATGTTTCAGATATTTTGTAATTTATGTTATAAAACTGGCACCATTTTCAATATTGTTTAGTAATTTTACTATTCTTATGAAGCATATTGTAGCTGCCTTAAATATATTTTAATTTAAAATTAATTAAATTTCGTAAAAATTACCTCACGTACATCCGCTCGATAAAATAAAATGATATGTCTTACCTAGTTTCAAGAGCACCTCCCGCCCTCTCTCAATTGCGTGCACTATCCCTGTCACCACTAATCCCAGCACCACTACTCCTTACACCACTACACTAGGAAATACACACCACTGACGACAATACGACACGTGTTTCGCCTGTGCACGAGGCATCTTCAGATGATGTAGACTCTGCGATGGCTGACTCTCGCGGTCTAGCGGTCAGCCACCGCAGATTCGTCAGTAGTGTGTCTTTGTTAGTGTAGTGGTGCTGGGATTGGTGGTGACAGGGATAGTGCACGCAATTAAGGGAGGGCGGGAGGTGCTCTTCAAACTAGGTAAGACACATCATTTTATTTTATCGAGCGGATATAAGCGAGGTAATTTTTACCAAATTTAATATAATGGATTTCTGCAAATTCTATTAATTATTTGAAAATAAGATTATATATTATATGTCCTCTGGCTGTCCTTAAATAATTAAATAAATAAAAATAATCTTAAAATGTGGTGCAATGTGGTTCTGTTTGCAGCGCCGCAAACCAAATCATTCTGCAAGAACGGAAAATGAGTCGAGCTCAGAACGGACCAAGCGACGTGGTGAGTAACATATTTGAATTATAAATTTAGGATTCGGAGTTATTATTTATTTATAACATTGTAAGTGATGACAGTTCTAAGTCGTAGTCCTTCACCGTCGGCCGCATGAGGAAGTACAAGGTCGCCCAGAGAGCTATTGAGAGGGCCATGCTCGGTATTTCTATGCGTGATAGAATTCGAGATGAAACCCGCAGTAGAACCAGAGTAACGGATATAGTCTGAAGAAACAGTAGCTGAAGTGGCAATGGGCCGGCCACATAGTTCGAAGAACCGACCACCGATGGGAGAGGAAGGTTCTCGAGTGGCAGCATCGTAGCAATAAGCGAAGTTAAGGGCGGCCCACAAGTAGATTAGTGACGACCTGGTATATGCAAGAAGTCGATGGATGCAGGTAGCTCAGGACCGTACTTTGTAGTATTCTTTGTGGGAAGCCTATGTTCAGCAGTGGACTTGTGAAGGGCTGCAGTGATAGGGATAGTCATAGACTAGATAATGGCAGAATTACTTAAAGGGAGTTACAAAATAAAGAGGAAGTAAAATAAAGGAAAATATATAATATATAATACCAGCATGAAATAGTACCTTGATGTTGCTGTGTTTCGTATGGAAAGTGTAGAGAACTGGAGACCCTTTTTACTGGAAACGAGGCATTCCAACTTGGTCCTCAAGGGTAGCAACGTATGTGCACTCTGATTCCCAATCAAGGATAGATGTAGATGTCCATGAGCCACACCATCCACTTACCTTCAGATGGACTGTGTGCTCGTTTGTCATGCTTATTCTATAAAATTCATTTTCGAATCCTACAAAATGCAATGATATCAGCTCATTTTTATCCATTCATTCATTACAGCCTATTAAAAAGTCCACTGCTAAACATAAGCCCTCTCCCATAGATTGCTTCATAGGGGGATATATGATATAATTACCACATTTGACAGTCGGGTTGGCACCGCTTTTTATTCATTAGTCGTTATGAGGACTACTATTAGTATTACTACTACTATACTATTACTACTACTATACTGCCTATATCCTGTTTACTTTTTCTCTATCGCTTCGTGCACCGACGGGATGATATATCATAAAATAACTAACTACCATAATAGAAGTTAGATCAATATTAACGAACATCTTCCTTAATTGATAATACTAAGTTCTTTATTGACGTTTATGTGTTTTTGTTTGTGTTTTAGGAAAGTATACTGGCTCGGCAGTATCATCCTTTTCATCAGCCTCCGATGCAGCCTCCTCCAAGAAAAAAATAAATTTTACAATTTTAATTTTTGGCTTCTAGTTTGTTCCCTATACTGGTTGGCAACCGTATAGGTTTTTTTTTACCCTTTTTTAGGGTTTTTGGGCTACCCGTGTAGCAGTTCTTTTCGGGGTTTTGAGGAGATGCCGATTTTTATTGAATAATTTGTAAATATTTGTTTCAGTGTGGTTAATGGAAGTCTGTTTCAGTTTTTTGGCATAGTTAAATTTTATAGAGCTTAAAATATCAAATAAATGAATTTTTACGTACAAAATGTGTAATTCTCGTGGATACATTTTAAAATTAAGAATAGATCAGTAATAGTTACGACCAAAAATAAATTGTCTTTAGCCTTAAATAAAAAAATATGACCTGTTATCTGTTATTTCGAATGAATATGTTTAATAGATATATTTAAAAATGATAGTTACCCTATTACTTGTTGCTTGTGTATTTTTTTTTCTATTTCTTGTAATTAAAAATATTTTATAAGCATATTTTTAAATAACTTATGAGTCCTACCATAATATTTAAAAAAAATGCCCATCAATATTTAAGATTTTTTTTATAATTAAAGTAAATATATATTTTTTTTGGAATGTTAAATTATGAATGTTCTTTTTGGTTGACTTTTTATTTTTTAATATTTTTCTAACTAGTTCTTAATTTTTTATTATAGTACTATGTACTACCATTGTACCCAAGACATGAATGGGGCTTGCAACTGAGAGGATTGCGAATTTACTTTATAGCCGTTTTGTAAGATGATCAAAAAACGTAACTGAAAATATTTTGTTTTTATTAGTTTTTATGTGACCGCATGTTTGTGTATATCCTACAAAAAAGGAAACAATGTTAAAATAGCGACGTGGCAAATCGGTGTTGTACAAATTTAATTTTATTAAAGATGTCAGTAGACCCAAATCTATTCTTGTTCATTGCGCACAATCTTGTCCGATTAGTAATTCTATACTCGTGCTTTTACGTAAAATATTATGAATGAGCAAATGTTATATATATAACTAAACAATTATAAAGTATTAAAATACGAAAAAATAAAACAGCGCGGCAATGTGCCTTAAATTGAAAAAAAAGGAAAAAAGTAGAAAATTTAAGTAAATATATTTAAGAAGTCTTGTGCCAAAATATGCAAATATTATATATTTTGTATTCGATTTTTCGCTGTTCCTGTATTTTCCATTATACGTGCTTCATGTATGAAGAATGAACGTTTGACATAATATCTTATTAATCGTACTATCATAAGTAATATATTACTATACCTACGTTTACATGTTAGAGTTTTCATTTATAAATGAAATATGAAACGAGTGTTTCTAGTCATCGTCTATCGCTTCTTTAGATAAATTTAAATATCTAATGTTTATAAAATATAGTTATATTTAAATGTTGTATTTTGTATGGAATATATTGAAATTGTTGTGCTATTAAACTTTTAAATTTTACTCAGGTTGTTTCATTATTTAAAAAGTACAAATGGAAATTTTATAAACAGTACTACTAAGGAATTAATTACCTATCTTATATTTTCACACTGGCAATATTATTGTATAATAATTAAATTAAATAATTGAGGTGTAAGACAGGGTGACGCAATATCCCCGAAACTCTTCACCGCTGCATTGGAAGATGTTTTGAAGCTACTGGACTGGAAAGGATACGGCATTAACTTCAATGGGGAGTACATCACTCACCTTCGATTTGCCGACGATTAAGTCCTTGTGGCGGAATCGTTGGAGGACCTAAGCACTATGCTCAATGACGTCAATAATATCTATATAGGATAATATATAGGATAGGTCTTAAGATGAACATAGACTAAACAAAAATCGTGTTTAAATCGTCCATGTCACACCTATGCCGGTAGTTGTTGGGAGCACTAAGCTCGAAGTTGTTGACGAATATGTTTACCTGGGTCAAATCGTCCGACTAGGTAAGTCAAACTTTGACTGAGAGATCAATCGACGGATTCAACTCGGCTGGACAGCGTTCAGGAGATTACGACACATCTTCTCGTCAGACATACATCAAAACTAGATTGTACAACCAATGCGTGTTGCCAGTGATGACCTATGGATCTGAGGTGTGGTCATTCACTGCTGGCCGTATGAGGAAGTTCAAAGTAGCTCAGCTAGCTATGGAGAGGGCTGTGTTCGGCATTTCTCTGCATCATCATCATCATCATTACAGCCCTTCACAAGTCCACTGCTGAACATAGGCCTCCCCCAAAGAATGCCACAAAGCACGGTCCTGAGCCACCTGCATCCATCGACTTCCTGCATGTCTTACCAGGTCGTCACTCCATCTCGTGGGGGGACGCCCTACACTTCGCCTACCGGTACGAGGCTGCCACTCGAGAACCTTTCTTCCCCATCGGTTGTCGGTTCTTCGAGCTATATGGCCGGCCCATTGCCACTTCAGCTTACTAATCCGTTGGGCTATGTCGGTTACTCTGGTTCTACTGCGGATATCCTCATTCCTAAGTTTATCACGCAGAGAAACTCCGAGCATAGCCCTCTCCATAGCTCGCTGAGCGACCTTGAGCTTCCTCATCCGGCCAGCAGTGAAGGACCACGTCTCAGTTCCGTATGTCATCACTCGCAACACGCACTGGGTGTACAGTCTCGTTTTCAAGGTTTGAGGCTGCCCAACCGAGTTGAATCCGTCGATTGACCTCTCGGTCGAAGTTGGACTTACCTAGTCGGACTATTTGTCCCAGGTAAACATACTCGTCAACAACTTCGAGCTTAGTGTTCCCAACAACTACCGGCATAGGTGTGACATGGACATTAAACATGATCTTAGTTTTGTCCATGTTCATCTTAAGACCTATCCGTTGGGAAACACTATTGAGGTCATTGAGCATAGTGCTTAGGTCCTCCAGCGATTTTGCCATAAGGACTATATCGTCGGCAAATCGAAGGTGAGTGATGTATATGTTTATATTTCTCTGCATGGTAGACTTAAAAACGAGGATATCTGCAGTAGAACCAGGCTAAGCGACATAACCCAAAGAATTAGTGTGGCAATAGGCCGGCTATATATCTCGAAGAACCGACAACTGATGGGAAAGAAAGGTTCTCGAGTGGCAGCCTAATACCGACAGGCGAAGTGTAGGGCGTCCCCCCACTAGATGGGGTGACGATCTGGTAAGACATGTAGGAAGTCAATGTTGGCTCGGGAACGTGCTTTGTGGCATTCCTTGGGGGAGGCCTATGTTCAGCAGTGGATTTGTGAAGGGCTGCAATAATGATGATGATGATGAATTAATTTCAAACCAACAGAAAAAGAAAGAACATTACATTAATTTCAAGCGATGCCAAAACCATACTTAACTTATTATAAGAACTAAGAACACGTTACGTTAGGCGTCTCATACAACATATGCATCTAAACGATTTGCAACCAACAAAATTGTTTTAAGTGTATATGTGTGCGTGAATGCGTGTCGTTTTCTCTTGCAATTAGGGATGCAAACGATACATCGAGGTATCGGTCATAGACATCAATGTTATCATCGATGTTTTGAAGAGCGATAGATAGTCGATACATCGTTTGCTACATTCACAAACATTGACATCGTTTTTCAGTCTGTTCGGGTTCTCGGAATCACTGTGACGTTCGCTCGCATCGCATTGCTTTGTGTTGACACGTTAAGTGTATGGTAGGTTTGGATGAATTTGATTAAATATAATACGATTCGATTATTTGAATACCCAACGACACCTATACACATTTTGGATTTCTTGATTGGGTGAGTAATGTACTCGTTATATTAATTTATAATTTAGTTAGGTTATGTTAGTTTGTTTTTTCATTAGGTTTGTGTAGGCACATGCAAAGTGAGCGAGTCATTTCATGTTAAAAGAAATTAACAAAAATGCATTTCTTGATATGTAAAGCAGCTTGTGAAATTACAGTTGATATTTTTTATTTGCCTAATTTAATGATGACAATAATTAATTTAATTTACCATCATGTTCATGTAATTCTTATTTTTATTACTGCTTAAGCGAGCATCAAACAGACTTATACCGAATAGAACCACAGTATAATTTTTTACTCGACTGCGCAAGTAGGAGTGTTATGTTTTTCGAGCGCATGTATATATGTATGTATGACATAAAAATAAAATCTATATTTAATTACTTGTAAAAATAAACAATGTTTTTGTTCCTTTACAGATAACCAATTAAATATGCCTTCCAATAAAATAAAAAGTAAAATTTGGAACTACTTTAAGAAAATTGGTGACAAGGAGGCTATTTGCAATATATGCAACAAGAGTCTTAAAACTTCTGGGAATACGACAAATCTTCGAGGTCATTTAGAAAATGTACATTCCCAGCAATTGGAAGATAATGATGTACCCAGCAAGAAAAAAAAGGTCGGTAACATTACTAGTTACATGTGCATAGATGAAGCAACTGCAAGTACCAGTAGTCATAATGTTGACCTTTCATTACAATCAAACATCGACGTCGACGTTAACCAACCATCGACCAGTTCAAGCAGTGTTAAAGATTTAGTATTACCTTCATCTCAAAAGTCAGTTGCTACTGTTGCTAGTACATCGTCAGACATTGTTATTGATTCTAAAAAAATTGCTCAGCCAAACGTAGATGATTTTATAAACAACATTAAGAGTATAACTACAAAAGATGGTGCAAAATCAAAGAAAATAACTGAGGCTATTACGAATTTCATAATCATGGATAATAAACCATTTTCGACTGTTAAAGGTAAAGGTTTTCGATAACTGATGAAATAAGTGTGTCCACTGTACAACGTGACGAGTCGAGAGACAATTAAAACGAGAATAGATGAAAAATATGAGGCATTGAGTCATCTTTTTAAGATGTACATAAAAATGCTGAAAGCTATTGCATCATATACGACATTTGGACCGAAACCATGCAAAACAAATCATTTATAGGTGTCACTATTCACTTTTTGGATAAATGTAAGTCTCGACTTCTCAGTGGAACTTTAGGTGTTTTTGAGTTGACCGAAAGCCATACGTCGCTTTACATTATTCAGAAACTTACCGATATTTTCACCGAGTGGAATGTTTCCATTGAAAAAGTTTCAGCTGTTATTACAGACAATGATAGCACTGTTATGAAGGCCAATCAGGAAATGTTTGGAGAAAAAAAAAATCATTCCCTGTTTTGCTCATACAATTAATTTAGTCGTAACAAAATCCATTGATGATTCAAACAATTGTACTGAGTTAATAACCAAAGTTAGGGATATACTTAAGTTTATAAAAAGGAGCGTCAATGCAAGTGACGAATTACGGAAGAGACAGTTAGAGATGGGACTAAAAGAAGGTCAATTAAAAAAAATGTTACTCGATGTTCGCACAAGATGGAACTCTTAATTTTATATGCTTCAACGGTTCATGGAATTGGTGTCCATTGTAGGATCAATACTTTTGACTCGACCTGAAGCTCCACCAATGGTATCAAGCAGTGAACAAGAAGTGAAAAAGAAATGATAGAAATACTATGCCCGTTTGAGAAATTGACAAAAGAGTTTTCTGGAGATAGTTACGTAACGGTAAGCAAAGTGATTCCGCTAGTTAGCTGTATCCGTGAAGTACTAGAGAACATAAAACCAAAAAATTAAATAATACTTCAATTTAAAAAGGAATTAAAGAAACAACTAGCTAGAATATTTGATACCCTAGAGCATTCCTCAATCCTAGCTATCTCAACTACTCTTGACCCCAGATTCAAGTTCATGCATTTTAAAGATCCAGTGGCCAAAATTAAAGTATTTAATTACTTAAATAAATTTGTACAGGAATATAACAGCTCGCCTGGAGCTGCAACTGCAACAAGAAGTGACACCTCTGATGAATCTGATAAAGATGATTCTGAATTTGACGTTTGGAAATACCATAAGCAGCTAACACATAAAAAACATGAAAAATAAATCATCTGCTACAGCTATGCCACTATCAGGCTCCATCAGCGAAATCGAGGTCCAGATGTACCTTTCATCTCCTGTAACACCAATAAAGAGAGATGCCATTGAAATTTTGGCTAGCAGAGAACGACAGATGGCATTAAATCCGTCTTATGTATTACATATTAGCTTTAAGGTGGTACATTTAAGTTTTAAAATAAAATAAAATAAATTGTTTAGTGCAACGGTAACATGCAGATTTATCGCGTGCATCATTCACGGGTACATAGTGGCAAAACAACGTGAGGAATGTCAGACAAATATGTGGAGATGTACCAAAGGCTTTTCTTTGTGCTAAAAAATCTCAGAAATGGGAGAAGTCTACTGTGTGTGTCTAAATGTACCTTGGACCGAAGTTAGCTGTTCCTTTTACTTTTAATGATGTAGTAACTGAAATACTAATGATGGAATCAACTGCTCAATAATTTTTGTTTATTAGTTAATTTAATTTATTTTACTAAAAGGCAACCACCGTAATGAGTAGATTGCTGTAGAAATACAAAATATTCGAAAAATACTTGATAAAGTAAGGTATTATATAATCACAGATTTTTATTACAATATTTTGTGCCCCTAAAAGTAAGTAGGATTTATACAGGGCTATTTCCAAAGACCAGCTAAATTTAATAATTAAGCTCAAAATATAAATACTGATATACACATATTGCAGTTTTAAAAATACGCTTAAATATGGTTTCAACATTTATCTGAAAATATCCGAAATTGAATGTGATTTATGGGCAACAACAGGGCGCACTCGTGTGTGTACGAGTCAATGCACGGAGCTTTTGCCTATTTACTTCCATAATGACACGCTCGATTCCAATTTCATACTTTAAACGGGCTTCGGTACGCCATAATAACAATTTTTTTTTTACATTTTAACGGCATGTGGGATGAATGCTATGCAAATAAAAATTCTACACTCCACGAATTAACTATATTTTTTACTCCCACACAAAAGACAGTTCGAAATACACGATTAGACCACAGAGTGAGGGAAAGAGATGGAGAACAAATGTAAATATTTAGTAATAGCAAAAATAGCTGAGCTAGGAAGCCAATGAGAGGTTGGCGCGATTTTAATAACGTTTACTCAGGCAGCATGAGCGTAAAGTCCAGCATTGAGGGCGTTTAAAACCGTACTGTGCCCTATATAGTATATTATCTATGCCGAACTGCCTGGCCGGTTCGTAATTAATATGCAGGATAATAGGCAGTGCGAATAGTGCCAAGAATTGTCGACCTCAGTCGACTCAAACATCGCGTCGGTGGCGTCGGCGTGTACACCGTGCCTTTCGGCGTAGAACGGCGTAGTATTATGTTTATTAACATAATTTTACTACTTAAATAGGTAATCACTTAAATTACACTAAACATTCACAAAAATGTTTTCAAGGTGGACCATCGTTATTATTCAGTGCTATAAGCACGTTGGTAATGAAATGGGTGATATACAGAAGAATTCAGTAGTATCCACACGTACTGGCTAACTCTGAACTCTAGCCGCATCATTGGTGCGGGGGTTTCGCTCGAAAACCTCGATCTTCTTTTTAAAATTTTATAGTCTTTGACTCGATAATTGTGTTTTCGACAGCCGAGCTTATACTGTATGACCACCTCGAGCACTTTCATGTGATGGAGTGGTGAACTGTCCAAAGTCTAACAACTTTTGGTTAGTTGCAAAAATCGTACTTCAATTGGTGGTACACGTGCGTTAAATCCTTGTCTTTGCAAAAACGGCAAACACTGTAATATTGCACCGTTTCATAGTATCCGCGGTTCAAATATTTTTTTTACGTCATTGGTAACAAAGCGTACGTAATGAGGTCACGGTCAACACTGTCAGCTGTTGGCTTGGCTGGGCGAGCGGACGCAGGTATTTAGCGATGTAACGGTATATAAAAAAGGGCGGGGAAATGCGCTACAAGGTATTCTTACGAATGTGTGCGTGCATAAAATAGTAAACGTTAGATAATAGATAAAAGGTGATCGCCCAGACCCGTCCAACTACAGGCCTATCGCCATCACCTCTTTGTTCTCCAAAATAATGGAATCCATTATAAATTGCCAGCTCATGAGGTACCTTCAGGATCACCAGCTGATTAGTGACCGCCAGTATGATTTTCGTCGGGGTCGATCAGCTGGTGATCTTCTGGTCTACCTGACTCATAGATGGGCGGAGGCAGTAGAGTCCAAGGGGGAGGCATTGGCCATTAGTTTGGACATAGCGAAGGCCTTCGATCGGGTCTGGCACAAAGCGCTTCTTTCGAAGCTTCCTTCCTATGGGCTTCCCGAGAAATTGTGCAAATGGATCACCAGTTTTCTTTCAGTTTCAGTTTTCTGATCGGAGCATCAAAGTCCGATCAGAAAGCTGGTGTTCCACAAGTTTGCGTGCTATCACCAACGCTGTTTCTCTTGGATATCAATGATATGTTGTAAACTGGTAACATTCATTGCTATGCAGACGACAGCACTAATGATGCCTTATATACTGTGCCAATATTTCTCGAGAATACGTCGCCGAGTGCCGGGACAAACTTGTGTCTGAGGTCGAGTCTTTATTAAACAATGTCTCGGATTAGGGGCAACTAAATCTAGTCCAGTTCAATCCCCAGAAGACACAACTTTGCGCGTTTACCGCAAAAAAGAACCCCTTTGTCGTGTCTCCTCAGTTTCAAGGCACTCCCTTGGCGTGCTCCGCAGAGCGAAACAGTATTTCATGCCGGCACATCGCTTGCAACTTTACAAAGTGCAAGTTCGGCCTCACATGAAATACTGTTCTCATCTCTGGGCCGGGGCACCCCAGTGTCAACTCCTTCCACTTGACCGAATCCAGCGCAGAGCGGTTCAAATCATCGACGACCGAGTTCTTTCTGGTCGGCTCGATACACTGGCACTGCGTAGGAATGTTGCATCCCTTTGCATTTTCTATCGAATCTATCACGGGGAGTGCTCTGAGGAATTGTTCGGATTAATTCCAGCCGCCAAATTTCAAGAACGCACATCGCGTCAAAATCCACGATACCATCCTTACCATCTGGATGCTTGGCGGTCCACGACTATGCGTTTTACTAAGAGTTTTCTTCCTCGTACAACTTTCCTGTGGAATTATTTACCACCGGCGATTTTTCCGGACCGATACGACTTAGGGACCTTCAAGAAAATAGCTTACACCTTTATAAAAGGCTGGCAACGCATCTGCAATTCCCCTGGTGTTGCGGTTGTTCATGGGCGGCGGTAGTCACTTACCATCAGGTGAGCCGCATGCTCGTTTGCCCCCTCTCCTATAAAAAAAAAAAGAATTGAATCTTTTACTAGAATGAAAAGTTGAGATATTCCCGTCCCATCCCATCTCACCAATAGTTTTTTTTTTATTATCCTCCTGCAAAATCCTGTTCTGCGATAAAGTAATCGTATGAATGAATGTAGGTAAATATGTCAGGCAGAAATTATCAATGCCCTGCAAGGTGTTTTAGTTTTTCTAAGTCCTAGCAACAGGGAAGATTGCAGGTAAGATTAGCATAATTAAAGTTATTAGGTTTTACTTACAATGATGGACAGGTTAAAATAGCCAAAATCAAAAATACGAGGGTATAAACTTTTATTAAATGTACGTATTTAAGAATTTCATTGTTATTGTGGTATTATGGCAAATTTTCGTTCGTATTATTTGGCGTATGTTCAAAATTTTTTACAGATTCCAAATTACTACATATTTCAGATTTTAATTCTAATATCAATTCATTAATTTCGTAGTCTTTAATGTTACATCCATTATTTTCA